GGGGGGGGGTTGTTATTTTCGCTAGAAGCTAGTGGGCAAGCTAAGCCATGAACATATTTAAATGCTGAGCAGGTTTGGGGCTCAAGGACCGGATAGTATATAGGTAAGTATGAACAGCAATATACACCATCAAATCCGCTCTTGATTCTCTAGCAGTTTGTACCAAGCTCATCTGCAAAACCATAGGGAGCGTGTTTTTATTCGTCCCAAATCGCAACCACCGATACTTGCCGCACATAAGTGATGACCTTATCAAGCGACATGCGCGTACCAAATTGAAGCCGAGAGAAGTATCCTATAGTGGAAGGAATGGATTTGGCCAACGAAAATAACTTGGCGTATGGAATCGAATAGTGGTCCAACCAGAACAGAAGTGAGACGAGGGAGGGGGAGGGGGGGGTTTCAGCAATGCTTTGTTTCCTACGTGCTGCCTCCAGCCTTCCTGTTTCCAGTACACTCCCCACCCACGCCTCCATGATGTGTCAAAATTGCCATGTTGAGAATTCCGTTGACGTGCTCTACGGTGCTCAATGCTAACGTTAGCATGTATCCTTATCGACATTCCGAGCATTGCAGGATGTACGACACTTGAACGGGCCACGCCTTGCTCAGAACTACAGTCCTATGGATAAAGCTCAATTGTCCTGGAAATAGAGGTTTGTTCGGGACCTGAAGGAAGGCATGGGCGACTAAGAGAGCCAAATGGACTCGGCTATTGGCCTATATCTCTAAAATTAGGACTGGAATGAGAAGGGAAACGGCTGGGTGGAGCCGCTCTTGCAGCAACCAAGTGTCAGAAAGTCTGACAATGATACCCATGGTTTGGGATACTTGGTAGGCCGTTGGTGATGGATGGCACTGGGTCTCCAGATGTGGTGGAGGCGATTACGTGGATGCGGTAGAGATATTTCTCCGTTTGCCGACGCTTGAAACTTGACGTCAACCATCAATATCCCACCCGCGGAACTCAAGAAGAAGACAACCCATTGCTTGTATGTACCTATGGCCGTGTGCAGAGCGCAGAGCAGGTTGGATTTCATGGGATACCTTTGGAAGGTATCTAATGAGTACTCATACTCTTTAGGAACCTTTTGTTTACTTGGAGTTTGCCGATATGGGCACCACTCTACGGAACTGAGACTCCATCTATTCTCTTACGGATATCTCTGCAGTGATTTATCAACGCTACCGGGTTAACTGTGGATGCGGTTGACGTTGGTTTGCTTAAGCTCCGTAAACTGAATTTCCTCCGGCTATTACTTTGGCTGGACTGTTGACGTTGTCTGCGACGTCAAACTCGTTTCCATCGATGTCCCAATGGAAAACAACTGTCGAACCTGCCAGTTGAACCTGCAACTCAGGAACCCACCTTAATCCAACTTCGGTGCCACCGCAGCCGACTACCGTGAGTATGCAAACCTCGACGCAGGCGCTACTGACCGTTAGCAGAGTTCCTACTACATCACCGGCCTTGTGGGATCAGGTTCAACTCTCCCAACTATTAATTCCATCCCTTCCTTTTGTCTGAGCTTGATCTGAAGTTGGTGTATAGTCTGTCACTTCGACTTACTTCGAATGGCCCTTACCAAAGTAACTATCAGCTTCACGGGTCCCGTAACTTCCTTGTCTCCGTGTGGTGCTAACTGAGAAGAGGAAGTCAGAAACCTGACCATTAACTCTCAACTTATTCTAACATCAGCTAACCCCCCAGCTGGCGGTATTTTGACCAATGATTCCATTGAAAATACCTTCAAACATAGCATCTAGTCTAGATGGTATCGGTGCAACCCAGAAAGTAAATTGGAGCTGGGGTGTTGATCTTAGATCCCGTGGGACCCTGGGTATATCACGCGGCGCAATTGGGTAGAGCTAATAGCAGTTCTGAGGACTTGAGCGAGCGCATTGGAGGAGTGTTAATAAAGGGTTGGAGCAGGAGCCCATGTACATACATACAGAAGTCTTTACATAAGAATAAATCAAAAAAGTTTGAAAAGAGTTTTTATCCCCGCACACATCTAGGACAGAATCACAGCCGACGGAGTGAAGGTAAAGCGGAGCGAACGAGAGAAGGGCTTCAGTCCGACTCCCAGCCTTGCCGCAGTGAAAAAAGTTAGCTTGAACAGGGCAATGCTAGCGAAGTACCATAAACAAAAACAACCCAAGAAACAAGATGTATCTAGAGGAGAGAGGAAACAATTTAAACAGCAAGTCGATTATGACGGGGATGCAAACAAGACCCCCCAAACGACGACAAAACTACCGTGCGTGTATAAAAACCCCCCATAGGAAACAGAAATCCGGGATATTAATCCGGGATTATACTAAACGCTAAATGAACGCCCTCAAACGCATTGTGGAGGCAATAGAAGAATCTTGAGGATTTTCCATTTTGCTATAGACATTACCAGATTGATAAAAAGTCGTGGCAACCATGCACACCGCTGGTGCTGCAGCGGAGATAAATAAAAAAAAACTTTCTCTCCACTCCTGACGGATGGATTGGTGGTCGGCAATGCGCGATGTTGGCCAAAGTCGCCCGCCACTGCAAAATAGACGCAATGAAAAACGTAATTCCAACACCGACACCCACTGTCCATCCACACTCATATCTCAGTAACCATAACCACCGCACCTTCTCCACATCACCACGTCTAGCGGTATCTCCAATAGCTCTGGGTATTGAGGCGCTTCCAGGTCTTCCGTCTGCCAGCAGTGGTCTTGTTGTATTTATGGCCCCGTCCGAGACCACGGGATTTCTTGCCAGTGGCAGTCAAGCCGCGGGATTCGCGGTGCTACGAAGTGAACAATATTAGCATACAATGGGCCTACTATGGTTCTTTCCACTTGTCGCAGAAATGTATTAGGATAAAGCCTACCTTGTGCACTGGATTGACGATCCAGTTGATGCGAGGATCGCGGCGGATAGCCTTGTGCTGGGGATCGACGAGGATGACCTCATAGTACTTGTAGGTGGAATCCTGGTTAATCCAGTAAGAGTTGAGAACGCGCAAGTTGGCACAGCGTCTGCCAACACGCTCTTCGGCAGTGGATCTCAGAGAACGCTGGTACTTGAGCTGGTTGATACCATGGTTGGTGGGTTTGCCTATTTGGATTTTTTTTCCTCGTTAGAAATTTACAAAATTTACGAATCAATCTACCACTTTGATTCTCCCTGTGATTAAAGATAATGACACACCGTAAGTGGCACCCTTGGGGGCTGGTCTCTTGCGTCCTCCACGTCGGACACGGATGCGGTAGATAACGTAGCCCTGCTTGGCCTTGTAGCCGAGACGACGGGCCTTATCTGGACGCGAGGGACGGGAGGCACGATGGATAACATTGAGTTGACGGAGCTATATTGATGCACTCTCAGCAAAGTTCAACGAGTGTATAGCAAGACACAAAATAATATTTGTGCCACAGTTATAAATATCTCTCGCCTGAAGAGGGGAGAAGTTGGGACGTCTTTAATTCCAACTTTTCTGTCTTCCTTTCCTTCCTTCAATTCCAGCGAGGATTTCATCTTGGGTAATCGAGGGGTCTCACCTCCCAGCATCGGACGCGCAAGAGGAAGCGGATCACATCGGACTGCTTCTTCTTTTGAAGCTCCTCCACGTATTTAAGAGCACCCATCTATCAAGTCAAATTGTAAGCTTTGGGGCATCAATGGAAGGTAATCGAAGCCAAATAGCAGAATATCAGCACCACAAGACATAGGGACCCGGGACACGTACCTTGTCGTCGTGGAATCGTTGCTGGTGGTTGTCGTGGTCGTGGTCGTTGTCGTTGTCGATGCTTCAACACTGCAAAGCGAAAAGCTCTCGGTATGTCCAAAGTTGTTTGTTCAAAAGGGGTAGTGTGGGAGGCGCTAGCGGGATAAGCGAGCCTAATTGGGATGAAATTCTTGGCGTAAAGTCACGTGCATTATGTTGGTTCTGCTGAGTCATCTACGTCTCTTAACAAATGGGGAACAACAACAACAATCATACCATTTCTAAAGCTCAATATAAGAATGAAACTGCTCCAGATCTTGCAGTTTGCGAATCGCAAATTCTGGTAGAGAGGAAAATCTTGCAATATGGCTCATGACTCCTTGTCTTCTTGCAAAATAATGATGCGCAGATATAGATATAGATACAGATACCACCCACATTTCGCTTTTGCTTAACCCTCCCTCTCAACAGGAAAAGCCTTGATGAGAACCTTCATTCCCTTCACAACCTGATGTGCCACCTTCCCCCATCCATACGGCTCCTTATGAAGATTCTCCTTTCCTTTTCCCATCTTCAACATATCCTGAAGTTGCTGATCGTTTTCAAAACTCCTCTTCTCCTTATTCCCGTTCAATCCCTTGCCTTGCTTCGAGGCAAGCTTCTCTTTAATCTTCCTCTCTCTGGTGTCATCTTTGCGCACTAGAAGCCTTTCAATTTCAGCCTGGGACGCTGCCACACCGATAGCAATTACACGGCGAGTCTCCGCACAATCGCGTTCCCACATTTCTGCTGGGTCTGCGGGAGCTTCGAGGTCGGAGATGAACGTGGAGAGCTTGTCATATTCTTGGATCAACGATTCACTGCATTGGAGCAGAGCTTGGCTTCTGTGGTACAGAGGATGTTTGCCTATTGGTACATCTTCAAGAACGAGTTTTTGAGCGTCCACTTTGGATGTTAATCCTGAAGGCCCTGATGGCGTTCCGGACGTCTTCGTCCCTGTAGGAGCTAGAGCTGTGCTAAGTAGGGAAACGATATGGGAGCGGAACACCTGAGATGCAGCCTCCCTGAAAATCCCCATTATCTATTGATTAGATGCAGGGAAAAGAGGGAAAGTTGAAGTGTAACACAATGGAAAAGGGGAGAGACGAGAGGAGGGGGTGGGGGGTGAAATAAAGCCAAAACTTTCAACAAGCAACACACCTCTCTCGAACCTCCGAGTCCATCAACCCAACAAGCCTTCTTTCCTCCTCACTGATGCACTTCTCGAACTCTTTTGCATAATTGTCCCTCTTTTCAGTACGCTCCATTGCGGCTTGCAGATCCCTCAATGCCTTCCTGTTCCGCGTCCCCAACCCAGTCAACATTTAACCCGATCAATTGCAGTGCGACTCGACAAGAGTACAGGAAATAGAACGCTCCATAATGTTATCTGCTCTCTTACCTAGTCGCCTCCGCCTCCCCGTCGTCGTCCTCATCTTCATCTTCATCGTCATTCTCATCCTCAGCTTCATCCAGATCCAAATCCACTTCTTCGCCATCAGACTGGTCAGTATATTCCGAATCCTCTTCGCTTTTCCCGATGGCTGCACGCGCATTATTCCTCTTCCCTCTAATCCCATCCCCAACTCGCATTCTTTTCCTCTGTCCCTGAGCAGCTCCTTTGCCCGTGGGATCTGCTGCTGTACCTGCTACTCTAGCTGTTAATTCTTTCCTCACGACTCATAACGGGGGAAGTACATAAGTGGGAGGCAAAGTGGACTGGACTAGCTGTATAAAGGGAGAGATAGGGGGGATGGAAAACCCTCATTTCGCTCACCAGCTCTCTTTCTATCACGAGGCATGGCCGGATGAAGATGCAAATCTTTCACGGTCAACTAAAATCTTGCCTCAGGATAATGAGATAATGATTATTAACTTATTTGAGAATCGATCAACCAAGGTCTCACGGATTGATTGGGGGTATGACATGGATGTGGTGTGAGGTTGGATTGCTCTGCCAGGTCGGTTAAGGGGCGGAGGTCATGTGACCCAAGACTTTCTCCTGAGTCCAAGCACTTCCGAAGCAACGAATTAAGGGATGAAAGAAGAGAGTGGTACCCTGGAAAATCAGTAACCATAACAATATGTTCATCAAATTCCTATACCTAATATCCCATTCTATCCGTCTTAAGAGAAAATCTCTGCCTCGAGTCTGTGCTCTTGTCTTACTCTGCATTGCCTCTTCTGCCCTCTCTTCATATTTCTTCCAACGACAAATCCCATAGGAGGAAAGAGAAAACAAAAGGAAAGAGGGGAAAACTGATATAAGTAAACATGAGAATATCAAATTGAATGTGAATAGAAGGTCCTCTGTGAAAAAGGACATAAAAGGACAAAGAAAAAAGGGTGGACTAAAAAAGATTAACGAAAGTCTGTCATATTATATCTTAAGAGAAAGTGAAAGGCAAAAACAAAAAGGCAGAATTTATATCCCAGTTCCCGCACCAATTTCCAGATTCCAGCTCTAGTTTCCAGAACGCAATTTTTGGAAAAACACACATATAAAAAAACACCCCAGTCAACTGCATGAATAAAAAATGGAGGAAAAGGAAGCTAAGTTGGGCCATTCCTCTGAATGCAGCAATAGTAGAAGTGGTAAGAAAAACAATGAAACATAACGCAAAATCATTCATCACGTAGAAGAGAAAAGAAGGGGGTGGGATTGAGAACTGAGTCGCAGCATCAGAGAAGGCAGCATGCAAAACTTGAAAGTCTCGCGAATCGAAAATAGTGTATCGACAACGGTTAAGGGTGGAGAAAAATTACAAGTGTGGAAGAAAAGAAGTTAAGTTGTTACATGAAAGAAGGGTAAAAGGGGGCGATGGAGATTAAGATCATGTTTGGGGTCTGCAACAACAGTCCAAGGCAAATGTGACGGCCAAGGGCGCTGAGTAGTGCTTTGCAGAGAGCGATTAAAAGATCATCAGTGAACATAACAAGTCGAGGCAGGAATGTTAATAAAAGAAGAAAAGTAAAAAAAAAATTTTCCAAGAAGAAAGAAGAATGGAAAAAAAGATGAAAGCAAAAGTTACAAGCCAGATAAACAAAAGTCCTCCCAATTTAAAGAAAAAATAATCCCAGTTCCTAATGTTCTCCAATATCCGCTCTTATAATAGTCTTTGGTATCACACCCAGGGTCTTCCGTGTATTTTTTTGACAACTTTGATTTTCTCTTTCATAACAGTTCATTCTGTGAAAGAAGAAAAATAACGTGCACCCAAGAAGCTGGAAATCAATTTCGTCTCTCCTCAACCTTAGGAAAATGGAAAACACCATACAGAAGCATGAACGAGAGGAACAGAAGGTAGAAAAAACAAAACTGAACAATCAAAGAACTGAGGGGGGATAAAATATCAAAAACAACTTCCCATGACAACTTGAAAATCGCATTGTGTTATCCTGGTTATTTTTCTTCTTTACCCACTCATCGTAAGCTCATTAGCATGTATATGGCCTATGCACTGAACAAGGAAACAGCCTGCAGGTATAGGAAAGAAATGGAAAGAAGGAGGGGGAAAAAAACGTAATCTCAAAGGTGGATATTTCCGAGATAACTTGCTCTCTGAGCAATTGTGAAATAAAACAAGAAAAAACAAACAGGGTCCATAATTCGTGAGTCGGGACAAGTCTATATAAAGTAAACAGCAAGTTTCCGAGACGGCCTGGGACTCGCGCGCCATACACCAGCATAAAATCATCATCCCTGATCTTCTTGATCGATTTTTGGCGTACAAGGTATATCTAATCGAGAAGTCAAAACGCAAAAGATAAAGAAAGAAAAATCCTTTAAAACGACAGGGCTATAATGTAACTGGTCGAAATCGTACGGGGTGGAGGTAACGGGAGTGATTGGGTGTTGTCCGTAGGGAGGCGGAAGCGAAGGGGGTATTGTAGCATAACGCTGCGCGATAACATGAGACTCTTTGCTTCTCTCAGAAGACAATGAAAACGAATGCAATATATTATACGATGCCGTACAGCAAAAAGCGTTGGGGGGGGGGGGGGGGGGTATAAGTTGAGGGTACATCATGAACCGAGTGAAAGGCCTTGGAAGCGATTTGTCCAATCGCCTTGTGTGGGATGGGTTTGGCGGCCCGCTGGTCCCAACCCAGCGGCACTGTTGAAGTCGCCCAGGTTCGGGTCCCCAGTCCCGTAGTTGGTTGAAGGGAGAGAAGAGAACGGATCTGTTTGCGGTTGCAGACCTTGTGAAAAGCTTGACAGCCCCAGCTCAGCTTGTCGGCCAGCAGCAAAGGCCTGGTAAGGGTCCCTGTACGTGCTCCGCGCGGTTCCAGCAATATCTCTGGCGGCAGCGTCTGCATATCCCCCTGTCACACCTTGGCCAGCGCCTGGAGTAAACGGCTTAAAGTCATGGGGCCGGCGTCGGTCTGGGTGGTTTTCTTGACTAAACCCCATGGCACTAGAGAGTCCAGCAGTTGGCGTAACGAAGGAAGCTGGGTTAATGGCGGACATCCAGATTCTTGTCTTATAGATTTTAAACAGATCTGTGACAAGGGAGTTGAAATTGATGTAGGTATCAGCGAAATAATAGAATGTGAGCTTTTTCCAGTCCCTACATACAGAAAATATGGTCAGTTCCCTTTTTGAGGTCATCTAAACGGGTGCTTGGAACGAACTTACATTTGGAACTCGGCATCCAGAATTTCCATATTAAGCCGGTGCTCGGCTACCTTTTGCTGGCAAACACGCTTTGCCTTGGCTTCATTCCCTTCCTTCTCACGGAGAGTTTCAATTTCGTGGTTTTGAGCAAGCCGCTTAATCAGCTTGGGCTTAATATCTCCACCCTGTGGTTCTTGCATTCCATGTTGACTCTGTTGGCCCATACCGCCCACAGCACTACCAGGGGCGCCATTCAAGTTGGAAACGCCGTTCGGATTCACTGCATTCGGAGCACCCGACTGGCTTTGGCGTGAGAATAACATAAGCCATTTGTAATGTTCCTCTGCGTAATATTCTTTATATTCGCGAGCTTTCGCCCAGGTTACGTTTGCGTGACTAACTGTGCCAAGATCCGTGCCGCGATCTGCTTCAACGATGACAAGGTCACCGGTATTCACCTGCAATCCAGTATCTTCCTGGATATAGAACACATCGGCCCTATAGCATTTGAATGTGACAATGAAAAGCTGCTGGTTATGGTGCGCGTGGGCCAAATTCGAGTGCTGACGGCCAAAGGCGTTGGGCATGACATATGCCTGGTGGAGGGAGGTGGACATCCCGGAGGAAGCGATATTTTCGGGAGCGCGGAGAGGGTTATCGTGTCCATTGAAGTAAGAAGCTGCATGTAGACGGGCCTGTAAACGATCCTGTCCTGTTGTATGGGCTGTACGGTGATGATTCAAACAAAATTGGAGATACTCACGATTGTTGTCAACGGAAGAAGTAAGGGTTCCATCAGCATAATTTCCGAGGCTATCTTCTCGGTTACCCACGGAGCCAATGGCAGCTTGTTGAGAATCAGTGGAAGAGCTGATAGATGGGTGTCTCATGGGAATATCAGCGAAAGAGTGGCGACGACTCTGGGGTCCTTCTGGTATTCCACCAAAGCCAAGCGAGGTTTGCCAGTGGGCCTTTTTAATATTTTCTAACGTACGGTTCTCCAAAGAACTAAAAGCCGGGAATTGCTTTTCAAGGTTAGTTGAATGTTCACTGAGCCTTCTCCGCCCATTGCTCCTGGAATTGCTATATCCAGGAATCTCTCCCAGCTCGTCATGATCCTCCACTGCCACTCTCTCTTCTGGGACACTTCCAGGGAGACGATGGGGGTTATGCCCTTGAGCAATGGAGAATCCACTCGTTGCAGAAACTGAGGACATGGCACGATCGCGGAACCTAGAGTTTTCAAGTTGGCTAGATGCTGCTTGGCGTAGAAGAGCATTTTCCAAATAGAGTTGTTCCATGCGACGTGTCTGGGCCCAATTATATCCGGTTTCGGAGGTACTGGGGTGGTGGTGATGGCTGTCATCTTCATCTTCACGAACACGCCCAAGGGTTGCAGGATCATGTCCCAGCTCCCCGAGCATGCTAGGTCGAGAAGAACGGCGCTGGACTGAGAATTGGGCACTGGGCCCTCTGCGTGTGGTTGGCGTAGGCATTCCAGCGGCAGAGGACGGCAAACTGATTGATTCTGGATCTAGCTGGCCAACAGAGTACGACTGGGAACGATATGTTTTGGGGGTAGGATGAAGAGGAATTGCGAAGGGGATGTTGGAGTCCCCAGAGATGGTTCGTGCTAGAGGGCTGAGAACGTCGTCTCCGTTGTTGTTTGAGGATAAAGTTGGCATATTCGAGGAAGTTGGTGATTGGAGAACTTCTGTCAGCCTCAATGGGGGTTCTTTGCGTGTCTCTGAGTTCCAAATGGCAGTTCCCCACGGGGAAGATCCAGCGCCTGACGATCCCCAACCAAGTGATGCATTAAGTCCCGGGCTAGTCGCACTACCCCATGAAGTCGGTTCAGCGGCTGGCGTTGTCGGGTTAGAATTTGTAGCTGAAAATGAAGAGCCAGTTGGCAGTGAAGTTTTTCGAGCCAAAGAAGTGGGAACTTCGTTGAGCCATGATGTGCGTCGCGTAGGCTTAAATACAGGAGCGGCTGCGACTTGGGTGGGGTGATGATCTCCTTCATCGTCAGAGGAAGCCAAAACCTCCGAATCAGGGGTAGATTTTCGAACACCTTGGCGAGTTTTCTCGAGCAATATTGAAGCGTTATTGCCAGGAGGTGGGTATGCGGTATGCGGGCTTTTTGCAGCTGGTGTTGTACCCTTGCTTGAGTTGCTTCTGCTTGACGAAGCCATGATTGTTGATTGATTTATGTATGAAGGGGAAAAATAGAGATCAGGTGTAGGCGTTTAAGTTGATGTTGACTCTTGAAGAAAGCCTATGTTCTACGCTACTAGAATTTGTAATGTTAGCAAAATGTCAGCGCTTTCTAATCACAGAAGTCCTTGGGAACATATGTTCGAATATGGAACCGCAACCACTCAGTAGAGCATTTATAGAACGAAGGAAACAGTTTCTGTCAAACGAAGGGAATAACAACAATTCAAAATAAATCATGAAGAATGTAGTGGCAGTTGAACCGGATGTAGAACGTAAATATCACAACGTACAGCGGAAAATTAGAACAGCTGCTTGGGGAAGAATACAGATCAGGGAAGGGAGGAGAAGGAAACTCAAGGGCACGAATAAAAAGAGCAAAAGTAGCCGAATCACAAGCAGTGAAGGCCTCCGCCTGTGAATTCAGGTCACAAAACGTATGAAATGTACGCACGTAGAACGGGAAAAGAAAATGATAAACGTACAACTCCTCGACCAATAGAGCACCTGTAATTGCAGCTTCTCTGCAGAAACGATGGCGTGGATGTTAATGTTCGATCTCACAATCGAGAGAGATTTCAACAGAGATTATATGTATAAAGCCAAGCACATCTGCTCAGTGCCTGTCTGGGTCTTCTTGCGAAGCGTAGTTATTCGTAATTGATCCTAGGATCAATGTCGTGAATGGGGGGTGAACGGGGTGGACGGGGTGGACGGGGGGGGATGAAACTATACACAGTATTCGTGATAGCTTGAGAGTGGCGGGAGGGGGGAGAGGGGGAGAATCTAAATCATAAAGATACATAAAGGAAGAGTTAGCCCATTACATTCACACATATCCAGTATGTGCATGATATCCGCCACAGAAATCTCCCAAAGTCGCCAGAGCCAGCAGGAGGAGCAGGAGAGATGGTTGCCCTTCAAAAAGAAGTCGATAAGCCTCCCCTCGAATAATCAGGCCAACCTTTCAGCCCAACGGTTAAAGCAGAGCTGTCCCAATGTATATGGCACATTGGGTCAACAGTCTCCACCTTGCACATCTTAGTAAAGCGTGGCGAATGGAACTTCGCCTCCCAGATTGAGATAAGGGCCAGAAATCTCAACGTCAACCATCAAATAGAGTGGTTAATCGCGAACATCTGGTCCAGTCAATAACGGGACTTCCCGTTCCCAAAGTTCCCATCACTGGGTAGCGTACCCACCCCCAAGAATGTCTCCATCAACGGGCTTCTGGATAGGTGGGCGGTTTTCCAATGACGGAGCTCACAGATTTATATAGATATATATTCAGGCGGTGTTTGCTGCTCCTTCTCGGAGGGAACTGGCGGAGCAGTCCATCAAGGATGCAAATCCGCCACATCCGCCGCATCCGCCGTTATCTGAAGGGTGGAATGCGCATATATCGAACAATAGAAGAGGGGGAGATATAGAGAGGGTGAGATATAGGGAGAAAGGGAAAAATGGAAAAATGGAGCTTACCCAGAAAGTAATCTTCTAGCTAATGCGACGGACGAAAAGACGAACTGGGGTATTGTAGAAAGGAATTTTTGGATATTGTCGCGTAACACTGATCTATGCAGAGTTGCAAGCATTCAGCTTTGAGGCATGATAGGCGAAAAAGAAAGAAGGGAAAAAAAGAAAAAAAAAAAAAAAAAAAAAAAAAGGTGTCTTCCTCTAAAGAAACAAAACTAGGCAAGCAAGGTAGTATAAAACTCACAGCTCGAGGATTGGTCCTGGTGTGGTGAGCCTCACTCAAATATTTTAGAAGTTGGCGACAGTCACGGGAGATGGCACGCGAGATGGATTCAACCGTCAATTCCTTTGAGAAAACAAGTAATGACAAACTAACGAAGCGACCAGGCTTCAGTGCTTGCAAGGTCAGGTAGATTTGCGAAAACTTCTCGCCCAGAAGAAGGCCGAGTGGCGATGGCGTGTGAAAGGGGGTGATGTAGTTTTGTAGGTTGTTATGCAGGACAAGACGGACCGGAGGGCGTAAAAACGCAGCGGCTTTCCCCTTGCCGGCAGGTTTATTTTTTATTTTATTTTTTATTATTTTTTTTTTCTTGTTGTTTTCTTGAGCGCAGCTAGGGCAAACTCGGTAATTCTTGCTTATAATTCTTCCTTTCTGATTTTCGCTCTCTCTCTCTCTCTCTCTGTTTTTCCCTCTTTCTCCTTTTTGATTGATATTCCGTCTAATCGCAGGCTATTCTGTAGGTATAGGTATATTGGAGGGCGCCGCGAGAGTGGATTCGGATGGCGAAAAAGGAACAGGAAAATCTTCGACTCGCGGGGGGGGAGGGGTCAAGGAGAAGCGTCAAGAAGAGGCGGGGTGGGAGGGTCTCGGGATTTAGATACGGTTCGCGATGCGGGAATGCGGGCGCGGGTGTTGTAGTGTGATGTGGTATGTAGTCGTAGTTAATGGGAGGGCTGTCTATGGTGCTGATAATACTTGAACTGGTGGAAGAGAGTAAACTGCCATCAACAAAGCCATGCAACAGGCCTTAGACCAAGCGCATCCTCAAGATGGAGCCAGACAGCGCGCAGATGATCGATCGGGCGGAGGAACAATTGATGACGATGGAGGACGACGGGGGCATTTGGGGTGCTGGAGAAGAACAGGGTGGTAGGGATAGCAGGGATAGTTGGGATAGCAGGTAGGGTGGCGGGGGATGGCGTTCAATCAGAGAAGAGGAAGGTGGATGAAATAAAGTCGTTCCGTGTAGTCTGAGTTGGGAGAGAGTTGGGAGAGAGTTGAGAAGAGAGTTGAAGAGAGAGTTGAAGAGAGAGTTGAGGAGACCAGCGAACTGCGGGAATAGAGTTATGTGGGCAGACAGCTAAAGTTGCCGTCTACGTCGTATGGGGGCGGATCCGTACTAGAGGCTTTGGGAGAGTTTTGCGGAGAGAGGAGAGCTTTGGAGAGTTCTGCTGCTAAGTTCTGGGACGACGCTGGAGGCTAACCGCTTAATTAAATAACTAGTTATAACTAATGCCTCCAGGGGATAACTAATGGGGTTAGTCACAAACAAGTTTTGGTGGTAAGCCCTGTTATCATTTTGGTGTTAATACAGTCTAAACGGGCCTGGAAATCCATCGCTGGATGCGGCTAAGGCCACCGTAGAGCTATGAAGTATGCAGAAGATGCGGAAAAAAGGATCAGGACAATTCTACAGGTATTTAGGGGAGGGGAGGGGGGGATTTGAAATATCTGCATCTACCATATATATCCACTGTTTCGTATTTTAAGATACAAATAGGAAAAATTAAAACAGTTCACGCCCGATTGTTTTTGTGCGTGCATCTTCTTGGAGGCAAACAACACACCCCCTGACAACCAGCAGTGGGCCCTTTAGTTAAAGTTGTACCCACAATTCCTATATACAGTGCTCTTACCTCCTCCAGAGTACTCCAGGCCTGAAAGCTGAAGGGACCATATTCTCCATCATCACCTAGATCCACTATCAGTGAATGGGAAGGATCAAGGAGATCGTGGTCTTCAATTCGTGGATGGATTCAACATGAAGTTTCTGGAGCCCTCAACTTCCTCGTGCTGCAGCAGCTTACGCTCCCGCCTGGTCTTCGGGTTGGAACAGGAACAGTTGGGAACAGAAGAGGGGAACCACTCAGAAGCCGGCCAGCTGAGCAAAGGACTCTAAAACCAACCCCTCTGACAGCAACGGCTTGATGCCAATGAGGACGGGGCCCAAAAAGAAAAGAAAAGAAAAGAAAAAAGAAAAGAGAGAGAGAAAGAGCGGAGAAAAGCGGAGAAAAGCGTGGCGTGGGCGCATTTGAGGTAACTAAAAAGCCCGCCCAGCCCGTCCATTCATCGCGTTTCAATTTTTTCAAAGGATATAATTCATCCGTAACGTCTTGCTGCGGGATTTTGGGCGTGTTTGTCCTATAAAATATTGGCGGGGAGAGCTTTATAGCTCTCTATTCCTTTATCCTCCTCTCATTACTTCAAACATCAAGACCCTTCATGAACTTGTAGATTGGTGATTGACTAGCTATAATAACTAGCCCTATCAGAAACAAACGTTTGCACGAGGGAAATACTGGACCCAAATACTGGGGCAAATCACAGCCATATCGCATCTTTCGTCTTGGGTTGCCAATGGAGACTTGTCTCGCCGAGCGGACCACTAGTTATCCTGGTTCCTTAGCAGGTCAACTATAGGGCAGAGCATCGTGAACACCAAACACTGACCACTGACCACGCAGCCGGATGAATCGCGGCTTTGAGCAAAGGGCATTCATCAGTCGTGCCAATCAATGCTTTCGTTCAACCTGGTCCGAAATCTTCGCAGTGATAACTGATGTCCCACTGCTTCATCCACACACAAGCAGCAGAAAGTAATTGAGTTTCGGGTGCAATTCCTTACTGGATTGGAACTCCGGCTCCCGGCAAAGCAAATGGGCCAAAAAGGCAGCTGGAGAGAGGACCATAGACCTTTTTTGATGGTTACAGCAGTACCCCGATTTCTCTTTTCCTTAAATCGTCGTTCAACCATGGATACTATCGCTGGGGCCCAGTTGAGCTTTTAACCTTTTTACACACCAACCTTGTTCAAAAGCGAATCAGCACTTCCATGTAAGCTGGTAGAAGTCTAAATATCTCCCTCTAGGTTGTAAATTTTCAAATACTGTTTTTTAACAGTGCCTTTAGAGTAACTACCCTGCCCGCAATCCTCCAAAAGTCTTGTCCCCTTTATCTATGGATATAGGTAAAGTCATCTTCAACAATCCGTCCCCTCATTTTGAGGCATGTTGGGTGGAACCTAGGTAGCCAAGCATCAACCCAATCATTTACAACGGGACCTCGACCCAAGATCATACGAGACCATGCGGCAACAATCCGACGAGTCAGCGTTGTCGGAACGGTCTGGAAATAGGTTGTCAGTTCCAGGTTGATCCCCCTCACCCCAGCCCAGAGCCATTGGTGTAAGATGAGCGGCGGGGCTTGGCTCCAACTTTCTCCATCATAATTGCACTAGAAGGTCTAGTTTCAAAAAAACTCAGACATACTTAACAACTTCATTGTTGTCAACCCCCGAAGTGCATGAGGTGGTACAAAGGAACGGTGGAGAGGCACACAGCCTTGTGACAAGCACACATGGCGAACGGAGAAAAGAAAGAAGCTTAACACCTGTCACGACTCATCAAGAGCGAATGCCACAGGGCCTCCAGCCGGTGATGATCGCTGATCTGCCCGTTGTTTTTCGCCTGGAGATTCCAGAGTCCAGGGTTCCATCCACTTGTAAGTCATCACCTACTCACCGGTCAAGGTTGATCGAAGAAATGAATGAACCACTTCTCCTCCTTCCAGGAGATGGGTTGTTGTTCTTTTTTGTTAGTTAACTGCCTAGGTACTCCCGTAGACGAAAACGACAGTAAACTAGCTGACCTTTTCAATCAATAAATAAATAAGAAAAAGGTGGATGCAGGGCGGTACTCCGTAGTGATTATCAATATCTAGTGAATAGGCTCTGGTGTCGCTGATGTTCATCTACTGCCCATATATTATTTGCTTCTCCGTTACTCTGTACATACATACATATACTGTCCTGTATGCATATGGACCCTCAGATCCCTTTCCACCGTGACCAAGGTGCAAATCTCCCGAAAACCCCAGGCATTTGGTCAGCACGGGAGTCCACCATCCTTGATCCTCGAAACTCAAGATCTCACCATAAGACTGATATCAAAAGGGGGTTGTCAGAAGAAAAGCTCTACATATTCATATACATGCAGGAAAAAGAAAAAAAGTCAATGGGACTGGCTCATGCTTTTATTTAAACTCCGCATAGTCATCTAGTTTTCTGCCCGGAAAAATTTGGAAAACCATCATTCATTATTCATTGGCATTGACGAATCAACATTCCGCGGAAGATCACACAAAAAGATAAACCCTCAACGATAGAAACGCAAAAACAGGACCGGAATTTAACAAATAATAATAATAATAATAATAATAATAATAATAAACATAAATTCCCAGGAGAGATGGGTTGAAGTCCGTGGGTACCCGCGATATAGTTCCAAGAGCCAGGAATATGCCTGGGTTAGTGTGCATAGAAAAAGTCGCATATAGCTATTTGCAGGTCAACTTCCTCTACGTTGTGCATAACCTTCCTCGCGGCAGGCAGTCGGGGAAACCTATCAAAGGGCAAGGAAAGGCGAGGGTGCAGCCTGAGGGGATGGACGCAATAATGGCACCAAGTGGTCTTTTGCATGTTGAGAAGAACACAGAGATGGGAGATAATTTTGGTCCGCGGGAATGATCATGGGAATCGTTTTCATGCAGGCCATGATAGTCCAAAACTGCGGGGTGCAGTAGATTGCTACATCGAGACTTTGACACTCCTTTTTTTTCTTCTTCTTCTTTTAATTTTTTTCTAGCTGCTTCTTTTGCTTGTTATGAAGTTCTGTTGGTGAAAACGTTTGTCTGAGGATTTCCCTTTTGTATGTTCATTTTCTTTTCAGACTGGCTTTTTGTTCCCGTTTTGAGTAAGTTATATTTATGGCTTTTCTCCTGATATACAAGTGGTTAATGGGCATAATATTTTTTTTAGCTACCGACCCATTCTCAGCAGATTAACCAGAGAATACACACACACACACACACACACACACACACACATATATATATATATTTGCTTTGCTCCCTGTTAAAGTCCGCGGACAAGAGAGCTTCAAGTTCTAGCTGATTTTTCATTGTGAATAATATTCTACTTGATATTTCTCAGCTGGTAAGTTATTTTGGAGATGGTGATGCTTGTGGATTCTCAACGGCGAGACAACAACAGACGAGAAGTAAACCGACAAGCAAGAGAAGATAATATACTTAGTTAACTAGTTAATAAATCCAATATTGTTAATAACGCGCAACCTAATTGCGCAACAAAATATGGAACTGGAGAGACATTGAGATTTTTTCCTTTTCCCCTTTTTCCTTTTTTCCTTTTTTCCCTTTTTCCCTTCTTTTCTTCCTTTCTTGCTATGCCTCAGGACGTTTCTTCCGCCACCCCCTCCCCTCCCCTCCCCTCCCATCGAACACCACCGCCTGTGCACCACCTATCATTTGATCCGCTAGGCCATCCACCCCACCAGCTTCTGAAGCAAGAAGGGCGGCATAACCCCCTGCCCCCCTCTCTCCTTACTGCTTCAAATCCGCCACTGCCAACCAGGCCCTGGATCCTATCGGCTGCGGGGCTTAGCCGACCCCTCCTCAAAAAACGACAACAACAACAATAACAGTAGTAGTAATAATAATAATAATAATAATAAATATATAAATAAAAAAATAAAAAGCACCCATCGCGGTCCAAATTGTCCGTTTTGTTTCAGGATCCTCTGCTCCCCGAACCTCATGATTCGATTGCCTGTGGATTTTTCCCTTTTCCAAATGCTTCATTTTCTTGCATTGAGGTTGTACAGGTACGACCGCTCTTATTTTTAAGCTTTAATGGGATGCTCCTTTTAAGTTCCCCAGCTAGCGGGAAATGGGGTTTAAAGTGGAAGTTCTGTGTCCGCTGTGCGAATGTGGTGCGAGGGCGGAGGGATTGTGGGGGCTGGTGCTGGTTTTTTCCTCCACCCTCTGGAGTGCCATTGCTTTTCCTTGTTTCCCATCTCATCGGAGGAAAGGGAGAAAGATGTGAGCAAGGAGGACTTGGCGGTGGCGGGATGGGGCTGAAGGGGAGAGATGGGGTTATGATATATTATTGATGGCATGTGTTGTTAAGGGGAGGAAAGTTCTCTAAGGGGTCGTCCTCTTGGAAGGTGATTCAACTTCCCAACCAAATATACGACGGTGCCAAGTTCTCTCCGCTGGTGGGTTATATCCATCTCTCACTCTTGTTCACTGGATTCAATTTGCTTCTGATATAATATCGCACAAAAAGCAGAGGACAAAACTGGGCCTCAGTTCTGATTGGCATGGCGAAGAGGGCGGGCGTCCGCTTGTCCATATTAAACATGCCGCATTTTCATGTCATGATCTGTAAATGTAGGGATGGATAGCACTTGCACGAAAATTTGCGCAAATACTCCGATTGAGCTCAGTCAAGCTGGATTGGATTGTAATCGCTGGGTAGAGGTTGTTCCGTGAATGGCAGGGCGCATACCAAGGGCTTAGCCACAGCACAATTGAACGGGGAAAGGGGCGCTTCGAGGTGATGAGATTAGGCCAACAGAAGCCATACAGGGGCCATGGCGGTTGGTCATCAGAAATGTTTTGAAAAAGGGAAGGGTCCTGGTCTATGACGTCAGGTATTAGAAAAACACCTTCGCGGAAATTGGATATCAGGCTAGGATTGGGCATTTGTCTCTGCATTGCTTTTGTCACACTTGTTTTCATCGCCAGCTCTTCAGGCATTAGCGGGCAAAAAACTTGTGTCCTCTTTAATCAAGAGGAGTTTGTTGGTTGATTTTAAAAGGGTGTTGGAGAATAGACAAGCTTCAATAAGTAAATTAGCCCGCGGATCCTGCGTAACCAAAAAGTGCCCTCAATTTATCAAACGTAGAGAAAGACCCCATTCATAATTATTTCAAAGAGATAATATGGCTTGAATCGTTGGGATGCATGTAGACGCATAGTTTGTTGTACAGCAGAGCATATATGAAAAAGCGGAAAGCAAACGGTAGGCAAACGTAGGCAATATGCAAACGCTGCCCGGGATATATCTGAATATAGAAACATCGAAAGAAAGTCTCAGAGAGGAGACCCAAGGAAATGCTTTAGACGAAAACCAGCAAGCAGCGAAGAGAGAGAACAGAGGGCTTAAAACGCTCCCTCCGTCTTGGTCACTCAACCGTTTCCAGACTGCTCGACGCAGTCGACTGAGGACCCTTTTGCTGCCGCAACTTTTCTTCGAACTTATTAAATTCACTCAGGGCGATCTCTTCCTCTTGATCCAGCACCTGATTGACTCCTTTAACTTCCTCAATCTGAATGGGAGAAGGGGGAAAAACGGTGTCAGTAATTCCTGTAAAATTCTAACAAGCTTGTGGAAGAAGGTGTGAGGCGCACGGAAATCTCTGCGTGGCCACGCAGAGTGGGCACAAAAAGCTTCTAGAATTCCACTCACATAATGCATCAACATCGACTCAATCCCATTCTTCAACGTCACCGTACTAGAATCGCACGTCCGGCAAGCACCCCGCAACTTCAAATTAACAATCCCATCGTCAAAACCGCGGAACTCAATGTCGCCACCATCCTCCTGGATCGCCGGACGGATCCTTGTCTCCAGCAACTCTTTGATCATACCAACAACCTCGTCATCGTCTTCATTGTAGCTTAGCGAATCTTCTTCCTGAGCTTGGCTTCCAGCCCCTGCCTCGGAGATAGTGACAATTGGGTCGCCGGCAGTTACGGCTTCGGTGATCAGACTGAACACTTCCGGTTTGATATGTGCCCAGTTTGCGTCGCCGGCTTTGGTAATGGTGATGAAATCGGGCCCGTAGAATACGGCTGATACGCCATCGACATTGAGGAGTTTTGATGCTAGGGGGGAGGGGTAGGGTGGTGCGAGGGTCGAGCGTGGGGAGAGGTATTCTAGGAATGTGGTTGGGAAGTTTTCTGGGAGGACGGAGTGATTTGGGATAAATTTCAATGCCTATTGGAAACGGTAGATGTTAGCTGATGGCTCCATTCTTTCTCTTATTTTTTTTTTTTTGAAAAAAAAAATTATTAATTGAATAATTAAAATATAATTAAAATATAAAAAACTTTCGTTCCAACTACGCATCGATGTATCCGTTATGCAATTAAGCAATGAACTTAAATTCGTCGAAAAGACATTGGTTTCCAAAGGTTTCCCACTCACATCAGCATTAGGAGTATTCTCAGTCTGTATAAATATGCTCCGACTGCCCACAGGAGCATTTAGCTGCGTCCCCGGTGCGGTGGGCTGATGTTGCGGACGCAGCGTTGGTCTATGGTGTGACGGTGACGAGGTAAGTCCAGAAATTTTTGCAGCATTAGTGTGCACGCTCAAGGCGCATCCAGGTCCATGGAGGCTCAGGGCCGGCGTCAAAATGCGGCTAGAGGGCCGTGATCGAAAGATCAATTGCGTGAATGTTCTGGATAGAGTTTTTGTCGCCATCGTGAATGTAGATACATATATCTATCTAAAAGTGATATATATGCTCTTTGGCCAATGCGGTCTGAAATGGGAAGGGGAAAGTTTTTTGGTGGGCGGTAACTTACTCGTTAATTACAGCCGATTTGCAGATGACGTAACTAATGGAAGATTTCCGCGGAGTAGTATCACGTGATGGAACATTTCCCCCATTGTGGTTGGTTCTTTCCAAACCGTTCAATGGCACAATCCCATATCTCTCCGGAAACATCAACATCAGCGCCATACCGGAATGTGAATAGCGATTGGTATCCACAAGGTTGGCTGGTGGCTATCACGGCGACATCGATAGGCTACGACGGTCCGTTTCAGGGTATGATCTGCAACACCTTAACGGTTTTGTGGAGGAATAATGGGATGATGGTTCTCTGTTTTATGTTCTTCCCTTGAGGAGAATATTGGGAAAAGGGATTCATTATTTTTCATTTCAATATTTGGACAATAGATAGACACAAAAAAAATAACAAGACGGGGAAGGTACAAAGTCTATCCTGCTAGAAAACCAGATCGGCGTTTGGGCACCCAAATCAGAGGAGATCCTCATACATTGAAGGAAGATCGAAGAAAAACACCCAAAAGCGTTATAGGCATTCGTCACGTCATGGTATACCTGGAAATTTTTATAACAAAATCCCTCTTCCTAGCAAAAGAGTTGAAACGAACTAGAGATGAAAAAGCACAACCAAAAAAGGGGGAAGCTCATCTTATGATTTCTCTCCTCCCGCTTTGCAATAGTAGCCCCGAAACTTGGCAAGTTAATGGCATATACCACAGCAGATACGAAGATATCAAAGATATAAATGGAAGAAGAAAAAAAAGAAGAAAAGAAAAAAGGGGGGAGGGGAGGGGACCTGGCACCGCATCCCCGCACCCGTTCGGGTCAAAACACTAAACAAGAAAAAGGAAGACGAGAAGAAAGAAAGAGAGAAGCGATGTGAAACGCCACAGAGCCAGATTCGCTTTATAGCTATGCGGGTATATACGAGTAAGAGCGAAATAACGGGGGGGGGGGGGGGGAGATATCACATGTACAACACATATAGTGGATATATCAGAACGACGAGAATTCGAAGCAAAGATGAAATCAAACTGGCAACCCTAGTGGGACAACTCGAGTGCAACGAGTCCAAATTGATAGAGCGGATAGATAGAAGTGAAACAGGTCATGGGGGGAAAAAGGCAAGTGTTTGCTTGGACAGTGTCATCTCTATATGTTGGGGTAGGGGAAATCATGAACATAATCGATCGTAAATCTTCATAAATGAGGCATTGAAGGTCCAACGAAAAAGAGATTCTCAAGCTCGACGCCAGCCGAATCGTCTGCGGGGCGGCTCAGTTCCTGACGGGGGTTCAAGCTGTGTACTCCGATTATAAAGTTCCTAGAGACGGTAAAGAGAGGTTAGGATTGGGACGAGATGGCCAAAAAACGAGGGAAGAGGATTAAATCTTACATCCTGATCTCCCGAAAACTTGGTATCCAGAATTAGACGCTGAACATCATCATTTTTCGAATAACAGGGGAATGGGGTGCGTTGGCTATTATGAATGCCCAAGACAACTTCGCCCATGATCTCAAATTTTTTCCAGTTGATGCGATCATTGCCAGGACCGATAAATGTTCTGTTGCCTTCTTCTGCCGAGACGAGGTCGCGTCGGTGGAGAGGGAGGAATGGGATCTTTTCCGCAAATGAGTTCTCCCAAGCTAGTCGATAAGCGAAGTGGCTCTTTTCCGTGCCCATGAGAATGACCAGACTCATAAACTGCTTCTGAACGGTTGGGGATACCAGCTCCCTGGTTTGTGTAAGTCGAAAGACGGGAGTCCCGTTAAGCCCTGCAATAACGGCTCCAAGGGAATTGTAATTGTTTAACTGGCGCAATTTCTGAGTGGCAAGGCAAGTCAGCAAATGGACGGATACGTATAGGGAACAATTATAGCGGCCAAATCACTAACCATTGCGATGTTCATGAACTTTTCCAAAGCCTGCGCTCGATGCTTGGGTTTGTCTCGAAACAAGACCATGCTTGCGACAAATAATGCTAAGTGATTGAACTCGTCAATCATCCTGTTGACACTACACAGACCTTTCGTTGAAGTCCTGTCATCCGCAGATACGCTCACGTGCCGGACGAGATCTCGCGGTCCCAAAGAACTAAACATGACCCAGTCGATACGTGTCACCTCCCGCGCAAACTCATCTTCGGAGATAGCCATGAACATTTTCCATTGCTCCTTTGTGAGGGAGTGTTTCGGAGACAACTCTAGTCGTTGGGCTTCTTGTTGGGCAGACTCCACACTAAACAATGTCAAGAATGATTGACTGGATATACTGCCCGACCTATAAACGCTCGAAGTCGTTGAAAGATTGGAGAGGTTCGAGGACAGATCATGATTATCATCGCTTAGGTCCAATGAACTCATATTATTCAGGGCGCCATCAGTGGATTGAGCAACGAAAGTTGCCGGTGAGCTCTGTACAGATGTATCCAGGAATGTTTCGACATTTTCAGACTCATTCTCTTCGTCTTCATAAGCCCAACATAGATCTTCATCATCCACAAACTTTTCGAGAAAAGAGCTCATCTCTTTTGCGGCAAAGGCGAAAATATAGTTCTTCTCCAGCGAAGGTAAAAAATCAGTCAGACGCTTCCGTGTCTTTGAGCCAGCAAAATCACCTGGATATTCCGATACCCATTGCGCCATGATATTGAGCAACCTTAGACGGTTTGCACGCTGCACCAATAGCGGGCACGGCGCCGACCCAATGCTTTCGAAGCGTGCAAGTAAAGTCGAGAGGAGCTTTGCAGGTGTGGCAAATTTTCGATATAAACACAGGAACATGTTGGCAAATTTTGCGTCCTGCTTGGACATGGGAGGTGCTAAAAGGCGATCCACAAGCTCATCGAATGTCACGCCTGGGTCGATAGACTTGTCCGTGCTAGCATCAGAGCTGGACGGAGGCCCAGTTCCCTTGAGATCATCACCTTCATCCTCCATATCCAAGAAGCTGCTGAATGCGTCTGAGCTACCACTGTGTCGCCAGGTCGTTTGTAATCGCTGATACGGGCCTTTATTGGATGATATTTCTTCGGGAACGATGCTCGTTCCTAGACTTTCCCCACGGTTCAACCGGTTCCCAGGAGGAGTTCTGGGAGGCACAGGCTGTGAATTGCTTCGAACATTTCTCGATCCTTGAGCAGTGGACGCCAGGTTTGAATCGTTTAAGGATTTCTTGGTTCGATGGTTGTTGTGGTCAGTGGTAGGTGCACTGGCTAGAGTGGATTTGGGGTTCTCGGAGCTAGCGCGGATATGCTGCCGGTTTTGTGAAGGGATTGGACGACGAGTTGCTCGACTAGACGCAAAAGAGAGCGTTGCAGAAGTTGACGCCGGTTGTAGATCAGCTACATCTAAGTGATGGTCAGCACGGACGGAATGTAAGGATTATTTAACCACATTGACTTTGTCGGTGGTCTTAAATCGAGGTGAAAAGAGAGCAAGTAATAAAAAGTAGCTGGCAAAATAATTTAAAACGCAATGGTCAAGCCCGGTTCTTCGACGAGAACGGCTAGCCCATGGGTGGTGACAATCGGGGGAGTGTGCGTTGAAAGAAAGTCAGCCAACGCAGATATAGGCGAGTCTAAGACCACAAAATAAGACAACTAAAACGGTGGGGAAGAAGCGGGAGGGCCATTAGCGCAGCAGAAATAGGAAAATCAGCAAGCGCAGAATAGCTAAACAGCAAGCCAACCAACCAGCCCGATATATGTGGGGTGGTATTGGCAGAGCCAAAATGCGATCTGACAAAGGTGGATGCTAGCGTGTAAAAAAAAAGTTTCAAATGAGAATTAAAATATGCAAACAAGGCGAAAACGCTCGGGACAAAAAGGAAAAGTTAGACCAGGGTTTGGCAGGGGAATGGAAACAGCTGTTTTGCGGCACTGCCAAGGTGGGGAACACAGCCACCTGAAAATCCTTACCAGAGGTTCTGTCTATGATAGCCCTGAGGATGTTCGAAATGCATTTCTTCTGCGACTCTGGGTCATCAGAATACGTGTACTGGACGTTAATACCGCTCAGTATTTGACTGGCTCGATGGTAAGTTTCTTGGTCTATCCGGGAAGACGGGACTTGGCCCTCGCGTCTACAGCCCACAACAATAAATGGAATTGTAGCTTTTGACAGCGCACCTATAAAAGGTCATTGGAATTAGTTTTCACAATTTGTTGGTATAGCCTTGGCTATAGATCGCCGCCCGGAAAGAGGGAAAGGATAGAAAGGTAAATTGAATATAGGACAAATAAAGATAACTTATATATCAAGTTATCTACCGACAAAAGCCCGCTCTAAATGTAAGATTGGCGACGGGGTAAAACTTTGATAAAAACTCTTCCACTTACTAAATACTCGAGCAATTTGAGTCACACCCCTCGCATCATTTGGATTAACCAGGACCAGGACGCCGTCAATTATGGGCAATTCCTGATCCCCTAGAAACTTGGGCCAAACGATGCGACTGCTTTCATCGAATGAGATTATATGGCTCGTGATCTCCAGCAATCGCACGAGGTAGATGGTTCCATCCAGGGACATCTTCTTCATTGAGGAGCGCGATATGGGACTCTGTTTAAGATCTAATGCGCATTGCACAAAAGTGGACTTTCCCACTCCTTGTGCACCCACAACGGCTAAATTGACCTGGGCAGGACGAGGCCTAAGAGTCGCGGGTTGGATCTAATGGCAACCCCAGAGGTTGTGTCAGCAACAACAAAAATTGTCCCCACGGGATTTTCGCAGGAGAACAAGGAGACCTGAACGATGCATACCTCAACCGAGCCGTTAGTTGAGACATGACCATCTATCTTGTCTGCGGTGGCAGAAGGCATCTCTTTCTCTTCGAGCACAGGACTAGTTATATCATCGCCCCTAGGAGGAATGGTTGGTGGGTAGATGTCCCACGAAGGCGCTGAATAGGAGCGGCTTTGCAGGTACGGGCGTTGAGGTTGCGGGGTAGGCCGTTCCTGGGCGACCTTGCTCGTGGAACGCGTTCTGGGAGGACGTGGAGCAGACATTGTATGTATATATATAAACGAGCGGAGGGGTATTCATACAAACACAGCGGCCCAGGCTCTGGGGAAATTTGTGTGCGGGAGCGGGGAAATAAGGGCAGATCATATCCTGATCTTGAAGCTTAGAGCACTTTTATCTGAAAGGCATCGTCTTTGTTATTACTACGGGGAAGGGCTTAAGTATTGAGCGGGGGGAGGTCTGATTAAAAGACAGAGCAAGCAATGTGTTGGTGTCCGTGCTCTTGCGAAGAAAAACTGTGAGTGGAGGGGAATCAACAGGGGTGTGTTCGGATCTCTGTGGCAGTTGGAAGCGCTGGACTCAAAACATGGCTGGTGAGAAGTACAGCAGCACAGCAGCAAGATATGGACGCATATTTTAGCTCTGTAACCGGGGACGTTGAAGAAGAGTGCAGGGTGGCAGGCGATGGTGATGGGTTGAGCTCATGTTGCCTGTCGTGGACGCTGGAGGCTTGCCCAGGTGGGCTGGGCACAGACAGGCGAGAAGTCTGGGCTCTAACATCTAGCGCCTCTCCAACATAGAGAAACATCCACATATATCGAACAGGTATTACCCGGAGAGGCAGAGAAGCACTGGCAGTTACATGTGCAGTATTATCCAGGATGAGGAATATATAACCAACTACGCTTTGGTTCGCAGGTAACGGATAAAAGGGGAATGTTGACATTCCGACTTGCGAAACCAACTAATAAACCCTTTCGTGCCTACACACCAAATATACTATTTAATATCTATTCTTAACAACCTGATCAACCACTCATATCACCCTCATAAAGCTTCCTCCAGACAGCTTCTTGAATCGATTCTCCTATAAGTGATTCCAGACAAGGATTCAGCACTCTCGAGAAATCCTAGAGAGCTGGAGCTGATCGCCAGACCATCTCGAGACCTAGAGCGCGAGTCAGCAACAGTGGCAATCCAATCGCAGGACCAAAAAGCTCCAATCGATCAACTGTTGCGCATGGATCCCGAGCAAAGTGACAGCTCCACCGCGCCCCCAGTTATGTCATGCGGACAATTTTACCATTCCTTGGGTAGACTTCTGGTTAAGACTGTTTTTCTGTTGCAACAGTGAGGGATTAAAAGCATAATTTATTATTTATACGCAACTTATTGGGGAAATTATTTTCATTGGCAAATGTGGTGGGCATGGCTTTGGTTTTTTAGAAGTTTTCATCTGAGACTCTGTCGACAGCGCTGCGACCGCGGGATGTTATATTATATAGAAGCTTCGGCCAGTGCGAGTTCCCAAATACTAGGACAAATATCCGGGAATCCTACATTATAAAAACACCAAAACGCACCAATGCCTCTTTTACCCCGCGCCAGGAAGCCAATAATTATTTAATCGCAACCCTGTAAAACGGTCACCGTTTGCACCGTTTACAACGCGCTGTCTCACAAGGCTGTCTGCCATACCCAATTAGGGGAAAAGATATCAGGTTATACCGAGGTTTGTCGGATGAATCTGAATCACCTTCCCAAAGATCGATCCACGGAAAAGCCCAGCTATTTATCACCCGGTTAAAGGTGACTGATCTGAGGGGATGTCTCTAATAGTTAAAGGAGTGACAGGATATCACGACAAGGTCTTTCAGTCTTTCGGTGCGAGCTCCATGGTAACGGTAAAAATATGATGCTTTCTCTCCTTCGGGCACTGATTGCTTGTCCTAGTCGTTAGATGTGTGGGTGAAACCTGCATGGCATGGATACTTAAAAGATACCTAGGTCCTGGACGGATTCACGATATCGTTATGGAACTCTAGCTCGCTACTCAGGATAACTTATCGTTGGATGTATTACCAATCCAGATAAAGTTAAAAACCTGATGGTGGAGGCAGGAAATATCAACAGCGATCCCGAGTTCGAAGCTAACGCAACCATTCTTCCTTGCGGAACGTAGAACAGGCAACATTTCTTGACCGGTTGTTTATTGATGAAGATAAAAGCGGCTAGCCGACCGGCATGCGGGAAACTGTCTCTGAACAGCACCAGCACCGCCTTTGCAAATTATTATATCGAATATAATGTCGACATCTCCCCTCCTTCATCTCCCAAACCACAGATGGATGGATGGATTGATGATCCGGGTAATCCCTCACCTTTATTCTTCAAGTCGATAATCCTCACCCTTCGGGTTGCGACTGCGTAGTTTTCGGAGCAGTGTCACCGCCCGCTGCTAGGACTAAGGAAGCGAACTGCGAGAACCCTTCAGCATCAGCGCCGCCAGCAGCCCCATTGCTGCTCTCCAAACTCTCTCGCAATCGTTTCACTTTTCCTAGCCCTCGATTGAACCCTTTCTCCTCCGTCCAGGGCCCTCTGCTCTTCCCTCCCCGCCCAGCATATGACCCTCGACCACGTCCGCGCCCACGTCCATAGTTGTTATGTTTTATCTCCACCCATTCCTCCTCCAGCGTCAGCCTGTATATATCTCGTAGCTTGGATCGCAGGGCGGGATATCGGATGAACAAGTTCTTTAGCTCCTGGGATGATTGTAGATCGCTGAAGCTGAAGTTGAGGGTTGCCTTCGCAGAATTGGAGTTCCGGGGTGGATTCGTCGTAGTCAAATCAACTCCACCGTTTACGCCACCATGCGTAGCTGCAGCGGTGCCATTTTGTAACGTATCACTCAGTCCATTTTGCTCTTTCGGCTCCGGCGCGTGTTCCTCACGGGCTTTGGGGGTACAATAGATCCTGTGTGCCTGGGTGCAAGCAAGCGAGCAGCTGTGCATGCGAGATTTAATATGTCAGTGTATTGCAACTTTGCCAACAAAATGCATGTCAATAACCACTTACCTTTGCGCACTGCATACCGGACAACGATATTTGGACGGCTCATTCGAGCACACTTCGCAAATAATCATATCTTGAAGTTATGCAGCAAATATCCTCGAAGCGTTCGGAATGGGATGTCTATATGAAGTAAAAGAAGTTCACTGGGGGATATTACTTAGCTAGCTCTTAATGAAATAAAACCAATTTTCTGTTATCATCAATGCGAGGTTGTGGTTGCACTATATCTGTTTCTAACATCATTGGAACGGGCTGGAATAACTAACTAGTTAGATAACTAACTAGTAAATATCGCTTACATAATCCACAAATTCCCCCATAAGAGTTACTTACTAGTTAAACAATCACTGCATCCGGAGCTCGAGCAGCTTCTCGAGGACATACTTATACTAATTAACCTCAGCATAACTCCACCCATCCAAATTTAAATATAACGCTCCCCCAAAAGAAAATAAAAAAAAAAAAATTTGAAAATCCCGGAACAAACCATGGCATCTCAACCTCCCATCCAAGCCCGCTCCATCTACCGGTCCATCCTCCGCGAATTCCCCCAACGACCCCTCTCATCTCCATCACCACTAAAAACCCGAATACGCTCCCGGGTCGCCTTGAAACCCTCGCAAAATGGCAACAAAAGCCAAATCGCACAAGCGCAGCTCGACGAGGCGGAGCAATTTATTCAATATCTAAGAGCGCAGAGGGTATATGTCACGTTGCTGGAACGGTATAACCCGGGCGCGGATATGAGTGAGGAGGAGCGCGTTAGGTTGACAGCTAGGAAGGTGGGCATGGAGTTACCCATTGAGAAGATGGAGTAGAATTGGTGTATGAGTATGGAAGAAATTGGGTGATTATTTTTGCTGGAAGCTATTTTTTTTTTTTTTTTTTTTTTTTTTGGCGCTTGTCTTCGCATCGATCCTAAAGGTTTTTGCGACGGGGGACGAGTGCGAGATACCAACATTACTGCGCTGTTTTCCATCTGGGCGAATCAGAGCTTGTTGCGCCCATTCCTTTACTTTCAAGTTACGATCGAGGTTCTATACGGCCATCGAAAAGCGGTGGTATTCATGGTTTCGATTGCCAGGAAGCTTTTTCGAAACGAGTGGATGCTCCTTGAGTACTGAATCATTGTATGGGCGGTAAATATGGAGCAGTCTTAGCAGTCTTGCTTTACCTTCACTCATTTGCGATGTTTGTGGCCGCGTCGAATGGATGCCTGTTTATCATGATTTGCTATCTGTACAGACCACTGCCAGAAAGTTGTTGATGCTAAAGATATCCGCGGATCATTGGGAATGTTAAGGGGGGTTGAAGAGAAAGCTATTCATACATACATACGTCTTAAGGACGATTGTATATTCTATGTGCATACAGAGATATAAAATAGAACATTCTTGGCTGCTAGATAAGTGCATCTACATATTTAATAAATAATCGTTTGGGAGTTATTTACCCCTTTTGAGACCTGGATGCTGATCCTCTGGTTACCCCATATTTGGGGGCCACCCTTACTCGCTTTCTCATCATCCATTGTTTATTCATTTGGCCTTCACTCAAAAATCATACAATGACAGAAAGACACACTTAAAATAAAACAAACATCAGAAGTAAAACTGGACATAAGACAAAGAATTCAGGTTTCAAACAGTATTTCTCTAGTTTAATAGGCAACGTGGAATAATTAGTGGTATAACTCCCAATAACGCCATTGATAATGCTGTGTTATGTTCAAATAAATGGATACGAAACACCACCAACAAAAATAATTATGGTAACAGTTAAAAGGAGTAATGCACTGATACATGAGAACAAGGGCACTTGAGGATTTGAACAGGGTCCTGCCGTAGATTGGTGTAGAGTTGGAAGGAAATATCATTCAGGGTATTATTCAACGAATCTAGGATTGTTTGGAGGTCTGAGAGTGTGTGTAGTGCTTTCAGGAGGAGACTAGCTCTTTGTGGCTGCGGTACCATGCTGGTCAGCGTCAAAGGAAAGGGTACGAAATCGTCAAGGTCATCACGGCTATTTAAGAAGAAGAAAAAAAAAAAAAAAAAAAAAAAAAAAAAGAGAGAGGGAGTAGAAAAGGGAAAGCCCCCAAAAGAGGGGCGAAAACGACTGAATTGGGTAGTTGTGAATCTTGGATTATTTCGGCTTCCATTGCCTAAGCGCGCAAAGCACCTCGCGACGTCCGTCCGCCCATGTAATTTCCGGCAGCGGAGTTGAAGAATCTCGATATCAGTCCGGTTCCAGCAGCCGTTTTTGCCTTTTTGGCAGGCTGTTGGGAGGCAGCCATCGAGCTAAGGGGATGTTGCTGCTGGGGTTTGGCTTTCGGTCGAAGGGTATGGATGTTAACGTAACTACAGGATATTGCTGCTGACGCTGGACTGGCATGGCTTTCCGCGACTATAACGTCATCAACAGCATAGGAGCCCGGGCCGAAGCTGGAGGGTGTGCCTCGAGAGCTTGGGGCGAGGCTAGATGAACGAGATGATGAGCTCGGTGCCCTGGACCCGCCACGGGATAGCGGTGGTAGGTCCTTGATTGAGGGAGGGGAAACAGATCGGCCGGATCGGGAAGGCGATGGGAGTCGCTTTTGGCCGACGTGATGGGTGTCGAGTCGCGACCGATTTTTTCGTGCCATCGTCAGGGCTTCGCGGGAGTCGTTAGTGAAGTCATTAGCTTGTTGGTGTTGCTGCTCTTCCATTTTGAGTTCATGTTGAAGCATTTCCTTTTCGCCCTCAAGCTGGAAACGCTCGCGGATCGGTGCAAGGAATGGTTCGAGATAGTAAAATAGATCCTTTTCTGTGACACGGGTATCCCAGTTCAACAAATAGAGCAACTGACGTTCCATCAGGTTGACTTCAGGAAGAGAAAATCCGAATTCATCAAAACCCTTAACTGTTGTATAGCGGGCCCAGTGTTTATTCTTTGGACTTGAGTCATTCAGATTCTTGGCTGCAAGGATCAGTGATGCGAGGAAGATACGATGACCTGTACATCGCATCCCCTTGGACATAGCTGGAAGCTTAGCTCGAAGGCGGCCCAGAAAGACCAGCGAGCTCATGAGAGTAGGGACTTCGACATGTGATCGATTGACAATGGAGCAGATAAACTCGGCCAAAGATGGAAGAGGAGGTAGTAATCGAGGCGCTGAGCTCTCGGAACCATCGATCGGGGGTGTTGTTGGGGGCGTAAGAGGGTTAGATTGGGTGATGGTCACGGGTGTCACCTCTTCCTCGCACCGGATGACCAGTGAAGCTTGCTCCGCAAGGTAGAAAACCATCTCTCGGGAAACTGGCAACGTGACAAACTCATTTAGAGCAGCCCGGTTGTAGGAGGACGTGGACTGCGCCATGTCTGCTATCCAAATCCTGAGGCTAGACAGTATGTGTTGCTGGCAAAGAGATATCCAGTTGGTGAACACAGTAGAAAAGAATCCGTCAAAAAGTCCCAAGGGGTATTCAAGAAAATAAGTATTAAATGAACCAGTCAAACAACATTTACTGGAGAATACTATATTGTAGATTTGCCCAGTGCCAAACCCAAAAGATAGTCGGTACACCACAGAGGAATGAACCAACTGTAGTCTAGTTCAAAAAATGGTAAATGGATTAATCGGTGGTATGTTCAAAGTCTCCGTCCAGAAGAGAGATTCGGTGCGAAAAGGAGAGCTTTTGTTCTCTCTTGGAGACTGTAGTTCAACTTCCAGACCTGTCTGGGAGTTGCTAGGAACAAATGCAAAGGCTGGATATGGTTGCTAGAAGTGGTCAAAATCGGAGTCAGCCATCAAAAAACACTATTGGGTTCCTGCTTAAGTCCAAACAACTTGGAACAGAGAACTGTTTTACTAACATGGAATTTCGAACAATTCGTTGCCTCTCCTCCAGGAAGAATAAGTTAAAACGTCGTCGGTGCCGTTCGCGAAAACGACAAAGGTGCAGGAAGTTAACCACTGTAGGATACTTAGGGTACATAAAAGGATTTCGTCACTGGTTCGTCGAGGAGGTGTCTAGGTGGTAAATAGTGAAGAAAGAAAACAATAAGTGAAGAACGATAGAAGAGGAAATATCTATAATATATTAACATGCAAAAGAAAACAACAAATCGAAAGAAACAGGCTGGGAAACACCGTGGGGCATGTGGCTAAGTCTTGTGAAAGGAGTGGGCAGAGCTGGAGGACAGATTCCATAAATACGCAGACATGCCAGGTAGATCGGCAGGAACTGAGAGAAAAAAAAATCACGGAAGTATCTGGATTTAGCCAGCCCTGCCAGAGTATGGGCGTCTGGGGGGCGGGCGGCTGGATACTGTCGAATGGCCCACAGAGTCAGACTGGATTTCTGGCGTGTGGCATAAGTATAGGCCACTGCCGGGGTATGAAGCGGTTGACAGCGTTAACAGATACACGAACATGAACAACGCAGGAGTCTGCAGCATGCTAACATTGCTTTCAAGATCACCGTGGAGAAATTTAGGCCTGTTTGAAAATCCGAGCTTCGAGTCTTGTGAGCGAGTCAAACAGACTTTTCCTCAAGGGTCGTGACTGGCCTCTCTTTTAGAGGGATTACAAAACTCGATGCCCATTCGCTGCTGCAGGAGGGCGACTCCTCAAGCATCAGGAGGTTGAACCGGTTTCAGAAAAGGCCTGTTTTGTCTTGAGTTTAGCGCTGCACCGTTGGCTGCGGGGGGGTGGGGGGGGGAGGGGGGGGGGGTTTTGGGGGCGCACAAGATGGGAGCTTGGAGAAATGGAGATCAAACAAACTGCTTGGGGACCATCGTCAGCCGCAGAACAGAGTTACTCCATCCGGGACGCCGGTTAAGGCTTCTCTCGGCAAAAGGGGACGAGGGACTTGTGTTTAATTTTTGCCTTAAGAATAATCGAGATCATTGTGGATGTGGCGGGGCCCAATGATAGCGCGTGTTCTCAAAAAAGAATCCTGCTTCTGTAACAAACCATCTGTCATTGTCATGGAGACCTGGCCAGTGATTTGTGGGGTTGTCTTTGATTGACCATGTGTTTGTTGCCAGCTCTTGAGCAAATATCCGTGTCTTCGCGCTCAGTTGTATGAAAATAATAAACGTCTGAGTTGGTAAAATGTTCCTATTATTTGCTCGATGCTCTCTTCTTGGAAGATGATCCCTTGAAATCGAGGATCCACAGAGACTTAATACTCCGTAATTAATTAAAGAGGTTGGTTAGTTAGTGCTTAAGGACTTGGGAGTCAAACAACCCTAATTAAAAAGTTACCAGACTCTGCCCCCGGCCTGTCTCCCAATATATTTGTTATTCCCGCAACTGTCTTTATTTTGCCCGGTTCAACAGCTGTTCACAGCGCTGCAGACCAATCAAATGGTCTCCTCCATGCAGCAACAAGGGGCAGAGATGCGTTGTTGTGTTCCCTCTGGCCATGTCTGGGATTTCAGGGTCATTGGGAGTTATTGTCTCGGTGTTGCTATTTATTCTAGGTTGCACCAAGGCGAGAGCGATCTTGTACATAGTTTGCATCCTGGATCTCGCCGGCTATTGGGCAAGAGAGACGAAGCGAAGATGTGTTGGCATTCCCGAAGAAGTAAAATAACAAGATAGTAAGATCTTCAATCCTTGCTTCATCTCCCATTGCATAATCTCTTTGATGGGAATTCATGCCGCCAGCGACAAGCCTTGGATGGGCAATGAGATTCGTAATATAATATGGTAGTTTAGTTGGCAGAATTATTATTCATCATCATCATCATCCGCTTACGCCTCGTTGTGGCCTGAAATATTTACATTTCTTTTGTTTTTGCATCTTCTAGGATAAACAAACATTGTCGACTCTGCCAGATCACCGGAACCTCTGGCTGACGGAAAAAAAAGGTGTTTGAGCTGGAAGTTAGCCAGGCTGCGACAAGACCTCTTTGTTTCCCTGGTAGATAGGTGGGTATTTTGCGATGTCATTCAAAAAGCCTCATAAAACCATGGAGTCAGGAGCTAATTAGCTATCACAGTCAAGACCGAAAGAGGCAAGCAAGCAACAGCTTCTTCGAAGGTCGAGAAAGAAAACAAGGCTCGATGATTGAAGCCTGCGCCCCGTTTTCCAACACAACCGCCCCACCCCAACCGCCCCTTTCTGCAGCCGCCGGGGATATTTTTATATCTTGGCACACAACAACATCTTTCAGCCTTCCCAGGTTTGACAGCGGTTAAGGTTTATTATGCGACGGATAAATCCCCACATTGTCCCTGACATAAAACGGACACATGCATTATGCAAATTGATGCCTTCAATAGAACCCTGTTTTATCCCTGATCGAGTGTACCGAGTCGGACTCGGAGTAACGAGTAAGTCAACTTGCCTTCAAATCCACCGTCCTTCTGTAGTTAGCTGCTTTAATTTTTTTTTTTTTCTTTTTTTTTCTGCGTTTCACATTGACTCTTCTTGACAACCTCCTGTTTCTTTCCGTTCCATCACTCTCATACTCGTAGCAAACCTATCACATCTCCTTCTTGCATTCTTGAATTCGTAACTCAGTCAAGCTGTCTAGAATCTTTGACTTTGAACCTTTTTTTTTGTTTCAAACCCTCACCCGTCTATTTGGTTTTCCCGAGTTCGGACCGAGCGTTTTTTTTTTTTTTTTCCCTGTCCTTTTGGTCAATATTTTCTTTCACTGCCTCGGCCATCAAATGGTGCATCCATTCTATTGCTTTCGGTTTCTATCTTGATTTGGGCAGGCTCCCAATTCATTCCATATGACTCATGTGCGTTCCTCTGAACTTGAAAACATTTTTTTGTTCCATAGTTGGATGTGCATATTAACCGATCCAAAGGGGTAGTACCATAATTGTCAATGCCGGTGGTTATTTTTTCGTTCATTTTCCAATTCTTCGATATATTCGTTGATTTCGCACGCCTGCTCCATCGCTCTCACCAGCGAGGATCGGACAGGTGGGTTGTCCGACTTATAACACCGGCATGACTATTTCAAGCCTACCACAGTTCAACCCATCGTTTTGGATTGACGGTTTTGTGAAATCGTTTTGGCGCCTCTATCTGTGGGACTGGATTTCCCGATTGTCAAATGTTAAGCTTTCCAGTGTTCCAGCATGTGGCTTTTGTTTCCGCTTCCGTTTCCGCACCCAAAAGAACACTACCTGTCGCGGTCATAAAATCTCACTGGTCGGATTGTGTAGAGTTTCGGGCAAAATCCTGTAGTCTCAGCGAGATCCCAAGTCAACTATTCCAGACTGAGTTTCTGTATTAGGTTCATTACCAACTCTTCGACCACTGCAACAGTGGAGACGTGAATATCCGAAGATACGTTGCCAGTTGGGTATTCGCGTAAGCACGACAAAAATGACACTTACAGTTCAAGATCTCTCTATGTACATTTGCAAGGTCATGTCAAAATTCACAGCCACTACTGCATCTGGCGGCCATTTGCCCTCCAGTTCCATCGCACAAAATTTGTACAGCTCTTTGCCAATCTTATTTGTCACTTTCCACTTTTTCCGTACTGGGGTTTTAAAGTCGGAAATGCGATGACACAAAAGATGCAAGATCCTGCAGCTCGTGGTCCCTCGACATATCACCAGATTGGGTTGTATGCAACACATCAGCGTCCAACCTGTGTTCAACCTGTTCTGCCACATCTTTTATCCCCATTTATGCTGATTAATATCTTTGCGTGCATCCAAATCCACTGTGATCGATCTCACTTCCCCTGGTTCCTGACGGTCTGTGCAACGAATCTTCCCCGAGATTTCCTCATTTTGTGCACAAGTAATTTCAAAAGACCGCCCTTTTGGTTGTGAACCATGGCGATAAATATTGTCAAGTAACACTTTTCCGGAGATTAAAACCTCCTTTCCCCCTGTTTTGATATTCGTTTTGTCTATTGGTGTCCTGGGCCTTGATGACGCGGGTGTCCAGCAACGACGCCACTGGGGGTGGGCGAAATGGAACGGAAATAACTTCTTTAAAAGAATAAGAAGATGGTTTCCGTAAAGATAAAGTGGCATCGCAAATCGTCATTTAGTGAAATAATCCAATGGATTTCAGCTGGTTAAACAAGCCATGCGTGAGCTATAGGTGGCATATAGTTCATCGTTGGTTGGATATAACTCTTTTATCTTGATCTTGATGGGAATCTTGATCAGAAGAATAAGATCCATGACCGGTATTTAGAATGATATTTTTGAAAGGATATTATTGCCAACATGCGTTTCATTAACAAATACGTTGTTCATCCCGAGAATCGCAGAGTAGAAGGTTTATGCTGACGTAATGATATCATGAACACATGACTCGATGCCTCGGATCCAGACATCCTCGTGGATTGATGCCTTTGTCTTCCATTGCAACAACATATCATTCCCAGATCAACATTTTCATCCCACACCTCCGCTATTTCCATCCATCAGCATCTCAGAAACTATTGTCCCTCAAGTTATTATTTCGCAGTCACAATTTTCTGAGTCTATATTGACATTCTGCAGCTCATTATCAATTCTCATTACTCATCATCTCTTTGACGCTCTGTGCCCGAACAACAACCATCTTCAGTTTCTCCGAACTACAGCTGCTCCAGTGATTATGGCGGGAATCTCAAGTAGTGATCAGAATAATAATTCTAATCATCAGCAAGTGTTCGAATGGAGCCGTCAAACCCAGGTTCTCGCCAGCTGCTACTCTGTCAATCCCTGCACCGGGAGACTCAGCAGTTTCCATTATTGCACTACAGTTGGCACAGGTCAGTTGATAAAATTTCCTAGCCCACACCTATGAAAGCAATAATGAAATTTTTTTTTCTTGCTAACGGAAAGCTTTTTTCCAAATGCCAGGGGCCCAGTGGTATCCCTGAGGTCCCCTCAGGGCATAAATTCCCCCCGACAAGTCCTCCCACTAAATACTCGGCCACAGCAGCTGTGGCTGATGAATTCCTGTCGCCGCGAGAGGGACTGGAATTCAATGGGGAGGCAGTGCAAACTATCACGGAAGAGTGTGAGAGGCTCTTCTGCGACACATTGTGGACATTGTTCCTTGGTGAGAGGCAACTTGCTCCACAACAGTCGCTGGTGATAGGTGCGGTACCTAATAACAATAAACACGTAAGCGCATTCGAAGCGAATGCAAAGATATCTGGGCGAATTCAGAACTGTATTGAAGTGTGGGACTACCCCGGAGACACGATCTACAGAGGATTTGTTGCTGCCGATGGCGACCGGAGAACTCTGTTTGTATTTTTCGACAATCACGCATGTGCGGGGCAAGGGTTCAAGTCTGGGTTCGTTATACCTCTTCCCCCCTTTCATGGTTACTTTCTTCCCTTTTTATGACCCTTACGTTTCTCATTTCCTCGGCTAACCTATGTAGATTGATGGCGCTGTTCGAAATCGCCAGCAGTCCCGAGCTTGATTGCTCCGAAATGATTGCATGTGTTGATCGATCGATGGACGCAGCGGAACTAGATGTTGCAATACGAAATCTAGGCTGGGTTGGGTTTGAATTAAGTAGTTTGAACGACTGGGTAGTTCCTCCATTAAAGGATGCTATTATTAGTGGTAAATGGTTATTTATGACAGTGGAAATCTGATGTTTATCTTGCTTGACAATTCTCGTCTTGAAACTCTCTGTTGTCCTCATTGCCTTTATGCTAAATGTCATGCCAGCGATGTACACAAATCAGTTAGTTAATGCTTTTGCTACTTATAATTGGATTTTTTCTATTTGATCTGCGATATCAATCGCGGGCTAGCCAGCTGATCCTTGGACCGAATGGTGACATGTTGCTTACCTAACCAGCCCGACGTGCTTCAAACCCTTGGACCCAAAAAGCGGGGATCCCGGATCATTATGATTCCCTCAAGTAATATTACCAGCTATAATCGAATAGTAATACGCTTGTTGAAGCTGCGGTCGACCAAAACTATCGTCACGCCTTAAAAGACAAACAACAGGTCAGCGTCCTTTGCGGTATGCCGGCAATCAGGCGAGTTGATATCTGCATAAAATGAGCCGGGGACCAGCACCACTGCACATGATGTCATCGTCATCATTCGTGTCATCCGTCTTTCCAACTTACCTCCTCCACTCCATCCCCTTCCGCAAGCGCGATGTGAAAACAACTAAAAATACCAACTCCACACCAAGCGATTCCGAGACCCCCTCTAAACCACAATCACCTGCCCCTTCAAGCAATGACGCCGCGACCAATGGCTCTGGTTTTCTCCACGGGCATAAATCCTACCTTCGCTGTGCCCGTTGCTCAGCAGAGCTTTGTCTAACCTCTCAAATCATCAGCAAGGGCTTTACAGGGCGGTATGGACGTGCCTATCTCGTCTCTGCCAATCCGTCTACAGATGAGATCTCCATAAGCCCGTCGTCCACACTGCAGCGCACCTCACTCCCCAACACAGTTACGCAGCAGCCGCTACCAAGACAGCTCGTCACGGGGGCGCATATGGTCAGTGACATCACCTGTCGTTTTTGTGGGAGTCTTCTGGGCTGGAAGTATGTGGCTGCAGAGGAAGATTCGCAGAAATACAAGGTTGGGAAGTTCATATTGGAGACGAAGGGGATCAGTATCTGCTCGTCCTGGGAAGGTAGTAATTCTAATGATGGCTATCATGATAACGGCAATGCGTTTGATTGTTTTTGTTCACACCGGTCGTCTGGGAGCAGTAGTGCGATTCAGAGTAATGGAAGTGGCAATGATGTGGAGTTTGATAGCCAGGATGAGGAGGAGTGTGAGGACTTGTTCTCTGGAATGTGGAGTCCGTGGTTAGCGGAGAGAAGAAGGCGGGATCGGAATTTTGAAAGGCATTCATTGGTGAGGTGAGGTGGAGGTGATGGGTGGGATGTTTGGGTGTTTACTCTTTCTCTGGGTTCAATTCTTCTATTAGTTGTTCTTTTACGCAGCGTATGGGACAGCTTTCTCATTCTATTGTAGCTCATATCCCGCAAAGAAAATCCTTCCTCTTCATTTTTTACTCTTACCAAATGCTGGTGGAGTTAAGTGGAACGATATCATTTCCGCTCATAGTCAACGGATGACTGTTTTTGTTGATTCATAACGATAATATGGTATCATCCCATGTTATGAAAGCCAAATAATACATCTAATAAATAAAAATACATTGCCCCCAAAGATAATCATCGATTGCCACATAATTTTGACCAGTCAAGTTTTCGAATATCATTAATGGTTTGTTTGAGTCGAGACCAAATCGGCGATGCGTTAGGTATTTCAGCGGATTGATTATTGCAGAGCTCCAGCCTCACATACAAAACACGGGTTTAATCGTCGGAACCGTCGTCATCCAGCCGGACTCTCTTTGCTGAACTTGTTTCATCGGCAACCTCGGGCTCTTGCTCTAATTGGCGCTTACCAGACGACTCCGGTGTCCCAGAAGCCCGTTTCTTTTTCTTGACGAACGACGAAAGATCATTGGCACCCTTCACGGCCTCTTGCAAAATAGAGTCTTTATCAGCGGACGAATTTTGACCTAGCACTTGGCTTAGGATTCCATTTAAGGCATTGGAACCCTCGAGGTTTCGGGTAGCATCATTTATGGATACCGGAGGTCTATTAAGTTCAATCAGCTGTATATTGGGTATTATGTTAGTACGGGTTGATTCCAGTGATGCAAACCAAGGATGTAAACGGTAACTTACACGTAGCTCCATATCCGAAACGACTTCTTTCACATCATCAATGCTTTGTTTCATTTTGATAATAGTCTCTTCCTCAGTGATGCTCTCAAGCTTCTGTTGTTCCTTTGATATCCTTAACTTGCAGCTCTGAATCGCAATCTCCATGTGCTTTGCGGCCTCTTCTCTCAGTTTCTTGTCAACCTTTGTGACCTTCGCATCCGTCGTATCTTGGCCGTCTTCCGCCTTTTCTAGCATGATCGACGAGAACTCAAGACCTAGAGAAAGCTTATAGTAGCATTCAGCAACACTAGGGTCTTCCAATGGGAAGAGTTTTGTTTTCAAGTCCAAAGCGGCTCTTAAATCAGCGACAGCATTTTCAAACCTCTCACCCTCCAAAGAGATTTCAGCCTGTAGGTCATATATATCTGCAAGTCGCTCCTTGATCTTGCGTTCCTCGCTCTGCTTCTCGGATCCCATCTCTTCCATTTTTCGCAAGAGAAGTATGCGCGCCAAGTCTAACATTTCGTACGCATTAGCAAATTCGTCGTCGTCCTCCTGCTCAGCTCCATCACCCTCCTCACCACCGTCCTCTTCATTAGAATCAGAGTCGAGGGTTTCGTCTCCTATAAACTGGAACAGTGACGATGATCCTACTTTCGTCTTTTCAGTTATGCCCTCTACAGCTTTCTCGTCTGTTGCAGAACCCTCAGCGATCGCGTTGCCGATGAGGGACTGCTTGTTGGGTGATTCAGAGCTAGTCTTCGTTGCTCCATTTATAGGTATCCCGTTCTTGGGCGCTGTGGATGCTTGTCCTGCCACCTTTGAACCAAGCACATCGCTTTTCCTCACAGCGACATTGTACAATGACTTCCCGTACAAATATAACAGGTCCGCATTGTTGACAGACATCTCACCATTCAGCTCTGCCTGGAGCTCGGTTGCTTGGGAATAGAGGTCCGCTGCAGTATCGTAGTCTTTAATGGCATCTTTAGCAGAGGCTCGCTCAATGAGATCCGCTAATTGTGCCCGTTTCAATTCGAGAGACGATTCTGAAGCTGGCGCATCTGTATCATTTGTTGGAGAGCAGCTTTGGGGAGAAGCGTCTGCCATGGTGGTGGATCAAAGATGAAAGATGGAAAAGTTGTCTTCGGAATGAGCAGCCACGAATAAATGCGTGGTATTGTAGATAATCTTGAATAGTATAGGGTTGGCTAGGACCTGGAGGCTAATTAATGTAATCAGTATATGCTGAGGTTAAGAGTTGTTCAGTTTCGTTCTGGGTGGAAGTCGGCTTAATTAATGCTTTATGCCGTCACGTGTCAAAAACGCGTTGAGCGCAAGCACCTGCAACGGTCGCGTTTTCCAACATTTTGAGATCGGATCGTGCATAGACCTTCAGCATCATCAACAATCAACACAGCTCTATCAGAGTGGCTGAACATCATGGTTTAGTCCATATTATTGCGAGAACGCTACCTAATGATTTATACTCACTTCAGAAAATGCGACGATAACAAGGAATTGCATTATCAACTTCAGCTATCTTCCGCGGGATGGCAGCACCGACTTCTTCGACCTCCATTCTCCCAATCCTATTACCTCCACCAACTCTCCGTCCACTTGCCTTTAGAATATTTACGAAAAAACACAGCTTGACTATTACGGCATCGAGCCTACAGTCACTCGCAACCTTTGTGGGGAGGAACTGCGGCTCAGGATGGCGGGAGGGAGGTCTTGCGGAGCTTGTCCTCGACGAGATCGCGAAAACATGGAAGAAAGCAGGGGGGGGACTAATCGTCGAGGACGGCGGAACTCACGCTGATCTGCTGAAATCAATACTTAAGAATTTGGAACCCAGGATGAATGGTGGAAGAGTTATCATTCGGGACCCATCCAAGGATTCAGAAGCTGCAACATTAGTCTCTGGGAAAGGTGAGCTAAGTAGGACGAATCGTACGAGGGAAGGGAAGCCAGATTCCAATGAGGAAAGGTTGGAGATAGGAGATGATAGTGCATTGCATGATGCCAGAAGATGGATTAGGGTTGTTAGCGCATTCGAACAGAATCGTCCTGTGTATAACGTGAACAAAAAGAATTTTGATATTATTACAACCCCACCCTCCCTATTCCCGTCTGCGTCTCAAAGAGCCAATATTTTCAGAGATCGATACAATCTCATTTACCAGCGGCTGCTGCGCAACGAAGCCTTTCAAATACCTCTTCAGCAGTCTAATTCATCACACTCCAGTGCAAACCGATCGTATAAAGTCACTTCCATTGCGAATCTTCTGGGGAGGTCTGGCACATCGCATTTACTTCTCGGTCTGCTCTCAGTGTCCCCAGCCGGAGAGCTCTCCATATCAGACCCGACGGGAAGCATAACCCTTGATATCAGGGACGCTCGGGCTGTGCCAGAAGATGGGTCATGGTTCACACCAGGAATGATAGTTCTTGCAGACGGTGTTTACAGAGAAGAGGAGGTCGTTAGTGGTTCCACATTGACTGGGTCCGGTGGAGTTGGCGGAACGATTGGCGGAAAGTTTATTGTAGCTTCTGTTGGTGGACCTCCATGTGAGCGTAGAGAAGTTTCATCTGGCGCAGCCCATCATCGTGGTGCAGATGGTGATATGTCCGTCGAAGGCGGATTTGGTTGGGTTGACTTCCTGGGTGTTGGGAGTGAGCGCAGCAGAGGCCCTCGCATGCGACAAATCGAAAAGATATGTCTCCATAAGGGCCAGCCGGAGGAGCAGGAAAAAGTCAGAAAGCAAATAGTTGTAATGGGTGAGGTCAATTTGGACGTTCCAAAAACGGTGGAAGCTCTCTCATATGTCTTCCAAAGTTACACCTCATTTCCAGAGCATCAAATGCCGTTGGTTTTTATTTTGATCGGCAATTTCTTCCAAGATGCTCTCATGTCAGGCGGAGGAAGCAGCGGCGGCATCGAATGCAAGGAATACTTCGATATTCTTGCTTCTGTCCTATCAAAATACCCACGTCTGTTGCAAAATTCGACATTTGTGTTTGTTCCAGGGGACAATGACCCCTGGGCATCCGCCTACTCGGCCGGTGCTTCCACAACATCCCCTAGGGATGCTATCCCTGATCTATTCACATCTAGAGTGAAACGTGCATTCACTAATGCCAATAACGCACATCAACTACCAAATTCACGCCACACACCGGGACAAGCGATTTGGACATCCAACCCCACCCGGCTCAGCCTTTTCGGGCCCGTACATGAACTCGTCGTGTTTAGAGATGATGTCTCCGAGCGACTAAGACGTAACTCGATTGTTTTCAAACCTCAAAAGCCTCAAGAGGTTCCACAGGCCCGTAAGGAGCCCATAGGAACAGATAAGGATATGGATCTAGAGTACATAGACCATAACGAACCTCCGCCTCCTGAAGGAGATGAAACAAAACAGCAAGAGCAGCAGCAAGACCAAATTAACCAAGAAAAGCCACTACCAACCTCAACCACAAAACAAACAAACCTCCACGCGTCCCGGAAACTCGTCAAAACGATCCTCGACCAAAACTATCTCTCCCCTTTCCCACAACACATCCGACCAGTCCTCTGGGACTATGCGTCTGTCCTACATCTGTACCCCTTACCGACTGCTATGGTCCTAGCAGATTCTGATGCGGAACCCTTTGCAGTTACTTATGAGGGGTGCCACGTTATGAATCCCGGCAGGCTGATTCCGGAAGGGAGCAGGAGTCTGGTGAGATGGATCGAGTATGACGTGGCGAAGAAGAAGGGGAGGGTGAAAGAGGAGCGGTTCTGAAGGGAACTTTTCATGTGAATAGTGTAGTTCTTATTTTCCTGTTTTCTGAGCCTCTAGAGGGATGATGTTTTGGGCTTTGGGCTGCGTTCCGGATTTTCTTCAATGGCTGGGATTGATTTACTTAGACAGATCAGAGTTTTGTGGAGTATTTTGCATATGTATCTCTTTGGGTATTTATACGTGTAGAATTTGTTAAGTTTTAGGGCGAAAACATATCCTTGTAGAATTCTCAGTCACCTATGAAGGTTGTTGGTATCTAACATGATATGAAAACATAATAACAAGAAATTACACTTCACAGCACCATAATCCAGGATGGGCCTTTCGCTATTTGACAAGGAAACAAGGGGGGGAAGGGGGAAGAGATAGGCAAACCTATCTATAATCAAAAGTGCAATCTGAGATTATTAGTACCGTTGCAAGCTCGCTGATGCACATAGAGTGAAAAACAAAATGGAAACTAGAGAAAATGAACACCAATAGACGCAGAAGACGCCGAAGACGCTGATATCAGAGCACCCAGAGGCATAGAAAGAAAAAAAAAAACACCCATGACAACCTTTTTTGTCCCAGTTTATTTATCAGATTCCCTCACTTTCTGTACTCGAAAAAGGAATATTGAATTTTCAAATAAAAGAAATTCAATCAGTCAATCGTGATAAAAGCCATACCGTTGCCGTTGCTGATGCCCTTACTATTACCGTTGACAGCAGGTCTCGCGGCGATATTCCTATTATCCTTATTCTGAGCACTCATCAGCTTCTGCTTCATGGCTCCGGGGTCGGATGGCGCGTGCCCTGCCATCCCAATATCGCTATTATCCGTTGTCTGTCTCGCTGCTGCTAGCCCCTTTGTCCATCCCATACTACCAGGATGTCCCTGCAAGCCCGTCATACCCGCCTGGCCCGATTGTGTCTTTGATTTATTATCCGTATCTTTACCAGCGAAATTATTATGAACAGGTTTCTCCCCATCCGGGAGTGTGCCACCACCGCTAGCACCTCCTCCCCGCACCGGAATACCCGTCACGGAAGAAAGATAATCCGTCATAACCCCATGCAGCGTGGAGAGGAGAGCTCCAACACTCTCCGAATCAGCAAGGGCACCATTACCCATCCCTTGCCATCCATCCCGGCGGGCATTGTAAATGGTCTCTCTCAACTTTTCCTCCAGAGGCTCTCGGGTGTCCTTCTCAGCTGGACTGGTGAAATCCCTCAACACCCAGACAACACGATCCCGCCGTAAGGCAGCGTATATGCAGAATCGGTAGCGGACCGAGGGGTAGCGGAGGTGGAATATCTTTGAGCTTCGGGAGATGATCTGGAGTCTGGAGTTCCCTGGTAGATCGGCATGTGGGTCGATGGAAATGTGATCCAAAGCCTTGAGGACTGGTAGAGTAACGATGAGCAATTGCAGGACGGTGTCTATGCATGTAAACGTTCGGGGCCGCAGTGTTCCGTTAAGTGTAGCAGTTAACGACTCCTTGATGCGACGGTGGGGGCTTTGAGGGTGGAAGTCCATGGTTGTTCGTAGGATCATGAGAGGGGCCTGTTTAGATAATCGTGTGATGGAGTCGATGCCGGATAGTACGGCTTGTTCGTGGTAGTTGAAATTGATGCTGGCGCGCGCGTTTCCTTCCGCTGCATATGCAAACCTTACGCGGGTGAGTGTGAGCGATAGTGGTTTCAGAGATTTTCGTTTCAGGATCTCGAGGGTGGAGATTATACGTTCTAGCTGTTGTAGGCGCGCGAGGAGTTGGATAATTACGGGTTGGCCTACGGGAGTCAGGAAGCGCATCGCAAACGCACGACCATTGGGCTGGAATGCTACGCTTCGGTCGAGGCGAACGGCTAGAAGACTAATGCCTTTTATTTCTCTCGAGAAATACCCATAAGCTATCATTACGGCGCACTGTGATGATGGATCGATGCCCCGGAATGATAGACGGATCGTGTCCTTAATTGGGGGTTTCCCATTGTTTGCGATAGGGGGAGAAATCTGTAGCGCGGGTGGGAGGGAGACGGTCCGGAACCTTATGAAGATATTTGGGACATGGAGGTGCGGGCCCAAAACGAGACTTGGCAGGGAAGGAAAATGGTGGATTCCATGAAGATCCGAAAGACAGCGAGCATTGGCGTGGATAGCAAGCACCCCCGAGAGGGCATGATCCAATTGGCCAAAGGAACCGTAGTTCAACCGATGAGGCGAACCCCCATATCTACCTGTTACCATACGAGCGGATTGAGGAGAGAGGGGGCCTTTTTGGCTTGATGGCGTACGTAGCTCAACAACCCACCAATGATCCCCGTCCATACTGCAGGTATATGCAACACCCCAATTGCGTTCCCAGGATTTGCGAAAGAAAAGTATAGATCGAAGGGTATTCGCAGGGAAAATACGCCGAAGGTCCTCGCCTCTGATGTCGCGTGAGTTCACTGTCTGCCAACCAAACGCGCTTGACAATGATTCAACTTCATCTACGGCAGCCGCTGATCGAAGACGAGAGATACGAAAGAGTATATCATCGACAACAGGTTTTTCGGAACTTCGATCCATGTCATGACGGTTTAATAGTAGAGGTGTTGAGCGGAATATGATAGTTCCAGAAACCGGCTCAATCATCACTCTGAGGTCCCGGCCCTTTGTGAGCTGAACGTCAAGGAAACAGTCTCCTGGTTCAGTCATGGATGTTTGAAGGCTGACAGAAAGCGCTCCACTGGCGTAGAGACGTCCTTGCGATAAGCCGACGTATGTTGATTGGAGCAGGTAGGAAACATGCAAAGCGATAACGCTGCGGAGGATGGCTTCTGTCGAAAGAAGTTCTAGGTCAAATTTGATATATTTAGACTGTACTTCCTTGCCGTCCCTCATCCATCTCAAGCCTAGCAGGGGAGATGCCGGAGTCGAACAATCCTGTATCTGAATCTTGCGGCGGCCACTTTTTATACCGATCTCGATCCAACTCTTCGGTCTAGGTCTATTAATCCAGTATTGGACGACTAGAGTGCGATGCAAGACCTCCACACGTAAAGTATCAAGCCAGGGACCTCGAGCTAGCTCGATCGCTTGGTGAAACAGTATGGTGATTTTGTTTGATAAAACCAAATTATGCAACAGGTTAAAACAGCCTGTCAGGCCGGAGTGCATGAGCATGGCATTTACCCTATTGTCTAGCTCATCTAAGAGTCTTCCTGTTGGTTTGGGCGGCGAAGGGGAGAATAGAAATCGAATATCGACGAAGAAAAATTGGGAGGAACGATCCTCTTGTGCAATGGACAAATCGACTTCGAATTCCGTTGGAACCTTAAACGTGACCCTGCCATCATGGACCACATAATTTGTAAATGCAGCGGGGATCTGGTCATGTAGTACGAGCCTTGTCCGGATCGCCTTATTAATTTTCCTCAATGTTTTAAGCATCATTTTCGGCGTCAGGGGTTTTGGGGGGATAAATGAACACTGGACAGAAGGACGGAAAAGGTTCAAATGATCAGTATATTGACGTATCACAGAAGAGATGGCGGACCAGAATCGAAATTACTTACCTCATTCATGGCAGCAACTTTGCCAGTTGATAAAACCTCCAAAGCCACCGCGAGATCCGGATTGGCAGTCTGAGCTCTGATCAAGTCGCGCTTCATCTCACCAATAGACAATATGGCGCCATTATAGCAGTCATACCTCATACGAATGAAAGCCTGAATGTCTATGAGCTTGGAAACATCAGCTGCGCGCCGGCTCCACTGAGAAAGCACGAGAATCTTGATGAAATCAGCCCGTTTCGACTGGGCGAATTCTAGAATGCGCAATTTCTTCTGGGCATGATCGGCGGACTGGCTGGAAGGGTACTTCCCGTTGGCCGTGGCTGCGGATGCGGCATGCGAAGAGGAATTCAATGCTGTTGTTTGCGGATCGGCCAGCTCAGCTATGAGATCGGTCAAGTCATTCCAGCACTGTTGGGCGGCCCTATTGATGAGTTGACCGAGGGGGAAGAATCCCTGACTGATATGCACTAACTCAGGCGGCAAGGAATCATCGAGTGAAGGGTTGGTGGGTTTGGTAGCATCTTTCGTGTGAGCAGGGCCGTTTGAATAGTTTCCGTTATTCTGCGATGGGAGGGAAGTGTTTGAGACAGCGCCTTGAAGAACGTCATGCCGGGTGGTCTCCCGCCCCGGTCCACTCGCGTTAGCAGCATCCATGATGATACCCGGCATTGCTGAGCGAGCGACGTCAAATTGGCGCGCCCAAGTGGCGGCCCGCCGACCTCAAGGCACGTATGGATGTATGCGCAGTGGGCAACACAACGACTTAGAATTGTATTAGCAAGGCGGAGATGGAGGAAGACCAAGGGAGGAGAGAACTGGATGGGGTCGGGAAGGGATACTCCGAGATGGTCGCGGGCTCTGAAGGTAACACAGCGCATGGGATGACATAGGCGACCAAGGAGTGAGTGGAAGGAAACACGCGTAAGACTTTGGGGGGGGGGGGGGGCGCCCGTTCAGCGTTACGGACAGTTTTCTTGGGGGACAAGGGCTTTTGGTGTGAAGTGAAACGGATGAGTTAACAGTGGTTGTGGTTGAAAAATAACTCGTTGAGATGTTGGACGTGAATAGCTCAAAGGTCCAATCGGGAGTCATCAATGACAAGAACGGGCATAAAGGCTGAGTAAGCAACCAGATGACTCGCGAGAGCCTCCAGCCAAGGATTTGAGGTCACATGATCTGACAGGGCCAGAGCCCACCCGGTCATTAACTGCACTAGCCCCAAAGCGGAAAAGTGTGGCCAACCGTTGCTGAGTTAAGCCAAACCCTCCGCAAACCTCGGGCGCTAGTTACCAAGATCAAGCCTAGAGTCACCCCAAAGGACGCCCGAACTATTGGCCAGGAGCGGTTAGCGGCTCGGTTTTCTCGTCCCCGCATTATTAATAGTCTTTCGGCTTGGAAAGAACAAACTGGCCTCATCTCGGCTGGCGTTGTTTTTTAGCGGGTTGAATATATATATTCCCTACCACCCATCATCTTATTCTTTTCGACAACAAGAGACAGTCTCCAGCTCCAACTCTCGACCGGGGTTGACACCAGCTGCTTTCTCCACTGTGGCTGTATCGGCATCCATTTCCTTGCCATCCTTCTGTCCTTGTTGATTCTTCTTTGTATTGATTGATATCTCTTCATACCGGGATTTCCCATAGCGTCTTTGTAGCTAGAGCTCTCTCTCTCCGCACCCTGAAACAACCACGTCTATTTTTTTTTTATTTTTTAATTTTTTTTTAAATTATTTTTAATCCCATAGAACCCCGTGTCTTCCTCCCTGCTACTCTTCTACCATGTGGCAGTTTAGACATTTTGCCTTTGGCCTAGCTGGCCTGGGCATCGCAGTCCTGGCTTCTGCTGCTGATGAGGCTGCATCGGATGTGCATGCCCTCAAAGGGGCCGCATTCAAAGACTTTATCAAAGAGCACGAGTTAGTCCTAGCGGAGTTTTATGCCCCATGGTGTGGCCACTGCAAGGCTCTTGCCCCCGAATATGAAACTGCCGCTACCCAACTCAAGGAGAAGAATATTCCTCTTGTCAAGGTTGATTGCACCGAGGAGACTGAGCTCTGTCAAGAATACGGCGTGGAAGGTTACCCCACGCTGAAGGTATTCCGTGGATTGGAACAGGTTAAACCGTACTCTGGGCCTCGCAAGTCCTCATCGTATGTTGTTGCCCTCAATGATTCCGTAGCTGATGCAGGTGAAGCTAACGCACGACCTCTCTCTTAGCATCACGTCATATATGGTCAAACAGTCCCTTCCAGCAGTCACCGTCGTAACCGTCGATAACTTAGAGGATGTGAAGACTCTGGACAAGGTTACAATTATTGGATTCTTCGCCCAGGATGACAAGGCCACGAACGAAACCTTCACCTCTCTGGCTGAAGCCCTTCGTGACAATTTCCCCTTTGGTGCAACAAATGATGCCAAGTTGGCCGCTGCTGAAGACGTTAAACAACCATCGATTGTCCTGTACAAGGACTTCGACGAGGGCAAGACTGTTTATAAGGGCGAACTTACTCAAGAACAGGTCACCAGCTTCATTAAGCTTTCCAGCACGCCTCTTATTGGCGAGCTTGGACCACATACCTATGCTGGCTATATTGAGGTGAGTTGGAGAGCTGCACACGCAACCCCTTGAGATACTGCTACTATTCAGTACTGACAATGTCCTAGGCTGGCATTCCACTTGCCTACATCTTCGCTGAAACCCCCGAGGAGCGTGAGGAATTCAGCAAGATGTTGAAACCCATCGCGGAAAAGCAGAAGGGTTCCATCAACATTGCCACCATTGACGCGAAAGCTTTCGGAGCTCATGCCGGAAACTTGAACCTTAAAGCCGACAAATTCCCAGCCTTCGCCATCCAGGACCCTGTAAACAACAAGAAATACCCCTTCGACCAGGAGCTGAAGATCACCCATGACACTATCGCCACGTTCGTCCAGGATGTCCTGGATGGTAAGGTTGAGCCTAGCATCAAGTCCGAGCCTATTCCCGAGAAGCAGGAGGGCCCAGTCACAGTTGTCGTTGCCCGCAGCTATCAGGAACTCGTCATTGACAACGACAAGGACGTTCTCCTTGAGTTCTACGCCCCATGGTGTGGCCACTGCAAAGCGTGGGTTATCACTTCCCCAGAACCTCTCCCAGCATTAATTCAAACCATGTCTCCTGTTTACTTTACTAAACAAATTATCTCTTGCAGTCTCGCACCTAAATACGAGCAACTTGCCCAGCTCTACGCCGACAACCCCGAGTTCGCCGCCAAGGTCACCATCGCCAAGATCGATGCCACCGCCAACGATGTCCCAGAAGAGATCCAGGGTTTCCCAACCGTCAAGCTCTTCGCCGCCGGTTCCAAGGACAAGCCATTCGACTACCAGGGTTTGCGAACCATCCAGGGTCTCGCCGACTTTGTCCGGGACAATGGCAAGCATAAGGTCGACGCTTATGATGAGTCAAAGGTCAATGAGGATGATGATGATGATGATGATGATGATGTCACTAGCACACCTGCCTCTCCCAGCTCTTCATCCACCAAAACCGCAGAGAAGAAGAAGGATAGCAAGACTACATCCTCAGCAGCTCCAAAGGACACTGCTGCTGAAAGTGCTCGTCATGAGGAGCTGTAATTTTCATTTCCTTGTGCGTTCTTTCTTTGTTTTGAAAAGATTTAAAGATCTTCATGTAGCTATTTTTCTACAACGAGTCAAAATAACAAAGGGAAAAAGTATAGGATTTTTGTGAGGTAATATGCGTACTGGTAACTTAGGTGCTTTCTCTCTATATATCTTCTCTTTTTAATGTGAAAATAAAATCTACGCCGTTGTCTTACTACGTGTCTGCATGTAGGGTTGCTTGTGCTTGTGCTTGTGCATGTGCTTGTAAACAAAATACCAAAGGAAATGTGTAATCTCAACTGTTTCTGTCATGCATCTTTGCTGTTTCCTAATCGCAAAATGCTCTTTGCTCTCTTTTATCTCTTATACACGCTGCTCCATATGCTATTCTTGGATCATACCCCAGACCCAGGAGTTCGAGTTTCTACACTGGCCCCACAATCAATAATACCTACACCTGGAATAAAGAAGCCTTTGCCGCTTGCCATCTAATTACCTGGTAGAGCCATCAGAAACCCTTCACTTGATAATCCAGGAAGTCCTAAATCTAGTTGTTTATGGGAATGGAATTGCCCTGGGGACATCGGAGGCTGATTCGAACGGGCCAGTGTCTGAAATATCTCATGATTAACGAGTCTACGTAATTGCTAACTAGGCAGGTAGGTAGGAGGGGCTATTCATGCTGATGAATGTATCCTTATAAACATTGGGATCGTGTGTTCTATATGAGGTAGGTCTCTATCCATCCCAGATTCAGCAGCATATACATGGCCTCAACTGACTGAACAAGACGGGGGAGGGGGGGGGGGGGGAAATAAAACAAAATCAGCGCAGCTGAAGAAATGAAACAAATAAAAAAACAAGGAAGAGTATTAGGAGAAGAAAAAAACGAATTAAAATAAAGGGTAGAAAAAAACTTTGCGAGTCAACGCCGTTTCAAACGGCTCTGCTTTCCCTCACAGCGAGTACATGTATACCAAGATTGATAGGAAGCAGGAATATTTGGATAACTCGCACATTGCATACCAACCTCTCTTGAATCGAACTTCATCCTATGCTAGATATTTCAATCAGAAAGCTCACACTCCACTTCCGCCAGGGCCTCTAATGCATCCGCATCATCTTCATCCTCTTGCGTTGGCAACGAAGATGACGATGGCACGCTGATAGTAGTCTTGTTTTTTTCTTCGGCTTCAATGTTTGTGGCCTTGACAGTGGTAGATATAGTCGTGGTTCGTTTGTCAATGCTAACTTCAGCTTCAGCTGTTGTTGTTGTTGTTGTTGAGGTAGAGGTAGAGGTTATGACGGAAGATTCCTCGTCAACAAGACTCCAATCAATAATCCCGTCCTTCCCGTACCGTTCACTAAGCCATTCGTTGGTCTTTTTGAAATGGCCACATTGGAGCTGAAAGGATTGAAACTGTGTTAGCATGTCCCAAAAAAAGAAAGACAAAAAAAAAAAAAAGGAGAAAAAAGGAGAAAAAATAAAACGTATAAACCCACAAATCCCCCATGCACACTCAACGGACTAGGATGCACAGACTGCAACACGCAATGCCTTTTTCCTTTATCCTTTAAAATATGTGCAACCCGCTTCCCAGCTGGCTTACCCCAGGCCAAGAACACAACTCCACGCGTCCTCGTCTTCGCCACGATGTCAATGACCTTCTGCGTAAACTTCTCCCAGCCTTGGTTCGCGTGGCTGTTGGCATTGTGCGCCCGAACGGTCAAGCAGGTGTTCAGCATGAGCACACCACGGTTTGCCCAGGGGGCCAGGTGGCCGCCGTTGTTGGGGGGTTTGACGAAGGAAGGATAGTCGTTTTTCAGGGCTGTGTAGATGTTTTTCAAAGATGGGGGTGCGGGCATTGGTGGGCGGACAGAGAAGCAGAGGCCGTGCGCTTGGTTGTGGTTGTGGTAGGGGTCCTGGCCGAGGATTACGACGCGGACGGTGTGGAGGGGGGTGTGGCGGGACCTGGAAAAGGAGGGTGTTAGTTTCGACAAAAGACGATTATCTGGAGAGTTCTGATATATGCAAATCCAAATACACACCATGAATACACCTCGTCGAATGGCGGGAAGATCTTCGCGCCCGACGCAACCTCCTTTTTCAAAAACCGTTTGAGGTTCAGGAATTCATTGGTCAGCACCTCGTCTTTCAGATGGGCCAGCCAACTCTCGTCCAATGTGTCGATTTCAAGCTTAAGCAGCTCCTTCTGCTCTTTTGTGAGGCCAGCAACCCATTTTTCCTTGTGGAACTTCGCTGTTGGCTGGGAGGATGCAATATCCTTTAACCCGGCGGCAGAGGAGTTTTTGTCCGTTTGTGCCCCAAAGAAAGAGGCGATGTTCCCGTTAGGTTTTGGTTTCTTTACATCTGTTTCAGCAGCAGCACCGCCACTGCCATTTAGGTGGTTGGCATCCCGTTTACGGGAGGTAGTAGACATGCTTTGAAGAATGGGCGGCTTGAAATTGGGGAAATTGCGGATATCAGACGACGTATAATGACAGGAAGGAGAACGAATGGAAAAACTACGAAGGATGGGAGTCAGAAAATTTCGAAGCATTCGGGTCGGGGAATTCTTGTTCCCTTTATGTTATCTCAGGACTAAAAATTTCGGAAAGTGGACGCCATAAAGTCTCCAGGCGGCGCGCCGGCTGCCTGCAGAGATTCCAATTCGGCGGCGCGTGAGGAGGCGTGTCGGCGATTAGTAAGGCAGCGCGGTCATGTGGTTTCGTGTGTCGCGGAGAGATTTACTGTGGAAATACTCCTGATGGAGTAGAGAAATGAATAGAGCATTCCCGGGTATAGAACCTAGGTAGATATCAGTCTAGGGGGGAAAGGATGTTGCTAGAAATCATATTCGTATTACAAAATCTAACCATACATTCATTGTTTTGTTTCTCCGCCTGATAAACCATCGCAGCCAAGCCCGTTCACAGAAAGAAAAGCCAACAAACAACCATACAAAATAGCGACACACTTCTTGTAACAGAAAGTGACTGGAGAAAAAGAAAAAAAAAAAAAGAAAAAAAAAAAAAAAAAGAAAAGGTACCTTTCAGGAGACAAAAGGAATAAAGAAGAAACAAAAAATGATTAATCTCTTTATTTGCACCTCTTCTCAACAATATTCGGCCCATGTTCTTCAAACTCTTTCTTCGATATCCACATCTGATGGAACGTCCCCAGACTCGCAACAATGCTACCTCCAATCCACGACCCAAACTTCCTTTCCGCCGTATTACCAGCAGCAGTTATTCGCACCCGCGGACTGGGAAACATGTTCATAAGCTCAAAGTTCAACCGATCATTAAACCCATACAACAGACTCGTCGCCCCGGTCACGACAACATTTGCAAGTAAGTGTGGCCGGATATCGACGTCAACTTGGTTCAATGAGCTACGGATTAGCTCTGGTATTGTCTGCGCAGCGGTTGGGGCGGGGAAATCTGAGTCTGGGTCCGGGATAGCAGCTTGTGCATCGAAGAGAGATTCTACGACCCGGTATCGCTCTGCGCCAAACACTTGGTTGTACCCATCGGGGAACTCGAAGGGGCGACCTGGATTCCCCCGCGCAATCTCTTCGTTGGAGACACCGTTAGGGCCTGTGCTGGATAGCGAATGTGGGCCCGGCCAGACTTGGACTACGCATTCTTTGAATTCAGAGATCGTTCGATCCTCTAGCAGGCGTCGGAAGGATGGATCTGGAGCCTGATCAGGAGTAACTGTCTTGTAGGTCGCTTGGGCAGGTTGGCCAGCATCGACGGCTGTCTTGAAAGCGACGAGATAGTGTGGGGTGATGGTTATAGGTTGAGGGGTGTGGGATTTAAAGAGTGCACGTATCTGAGATGAGATGAAATCGCCTCCGAGCGGGGAGTGCTGGACGCCACGTTTCAGGACCAGGCCATCGTGGACTGGGGTGATGGAGACACCTGATGCACCAACATCAACGACCAAGGCTGAGGCTTTGCCCGCAGCAAATCTAGAAAAGACACATATGTTAGCGCTGTACAGACCATCATATGTGAGAGGATATGGAGGAGGCGAAAACAATTAAAGACGCACGCAGCTAATGACCCATTCCGAGCAAGGTAGAAAGCTGGACTCCCCCATTTCTCCATTGCAATCTCAATCGTCTTTTCTCGCGCCTTGACAGGATTCCAGCCGCACTCCGTCATGAGGAGCGGACTATCAGCCAGCGGTCTCTCTTCCGCCTCCACCACATCCATATCCATGGGGAGGTCGCCGTTGGTAACGTCATTTAGTCCATTAAACATCGGGTTCCCGGACTTAGCTCCCGTCAGTCGCGATGTGAATGAGTATTCCCACACTTTCTCTGCCATATCCCAGTCCTCCACGAACCCCTCCCTCCCCATGGGGTTGTGAATGGAAAGCCCTGGCCGCGGGGTAACATAGATGCTGTCGCCATAGATGTACTTTTCCTGGGCATCTGTAGAGTATTTGCCGTAGAAGGTTGGGATAACGGATTTTGGAGTGTCTTCACCTGCGAAGCCAGCGCGTACGGATGAATATCCCGGGTCGAGGATAATTGCGGACACCTCATCTACGGAATTAGTGTTAGTGTTTGGGATATTTGGAGCGGTTTGGAAGCGCAGGAATGGCGCGTGACATACCTCCGCCATATTCAGCGGTTGCAGGAGGTACTTGGGAGCTCATCTTGGTCTGCAGTATTGTGTGGTAAAGCGTGTGTGAGACTGGAAATCCTCAGTGAGAGAGGAAAGTAAGCAGCGGTTCAGCGCAATGCCGAGACTCTGCGCGGAGGAAGAGCCTCTGAAAGGGCAATCGCATGCAAGGGACAAATTGAAAAGTAGCTCTTGAGATATGAAGAACAAGTGTGGTGAGCTATTTGCGTTGTCTTCCAAGTCCCAAGTAAGTTGTTTGTGGCGGGCAAAAATGATGAATGTTGGTGGTTGTTCCTTTGACTTAATATTTAATCGCTCATGTCTGGAACCGAACCACCCTTCAACAACCATCTCCATCTCCACCCACCTTCAACTATTTACTATCAACTACCACCAACTACGAAGAACATACTCAACACTAATATCGCGGTATTATACAGCTTATTATACAGCTATGTCGACCATGGAAATTGAAGAACCGCGATTCAGGCCAGTCAAGAGAAGAAAATTCCTGCGCAAACGCCTTGAAGCATCGCCAGACGCACCTCAGCCACCAGAACAATCCCCAGATCCTGAGGTCGTCTCCAACAGCCTCCCCGCAGGACAAGACAGCGCAGGGCCAGACACTCATCCAAATGAGTCCCAGGAAACTGACATTGGCATTACAGACATATTCCGTCGTCGAAAAGCTCTCAAAACTCGAAGGGGCGGCGTCGAGTTTACCCCCGCGTCCAAACCAGCCGCTGACGACCATGGCGAATCTCTACAAGAGGCTGATTCTGCCACCCAGGACCCCGAAGATACGGCTATACGACGTATCTCAGATCGCTTCGTTGCCCATACAGGCCAGAAGGTAGATGTGGATAAGCATATGTACGTTTTCTCCGATACGCTAATATAACGGCTGCCCATTTTTTTTTCTTTGGGAGGACGGAGTGAACGGCTAACAAGATTAAGGATGGCATATATAGAGTCAGAGATGGCTAAACGTCATCAGAAATACAACTACAATGCCAACACCTCTGGTAGTAATGAACAGACATCCGAATCCACCGCGCAGAGCGGTCTCATTCGTCCTATGTCAGATCTCCAGCTTCCCCAACGCCAGCCAGCTTCTTTGGGCAAACTGCATGAGATCGACTTGGGGCCGGACGCCAAGCTGCGTAACATCGAAAGAACTGAAGCAGCAACGAGAAGGCTTGCGGGTGACGAGGTACCTGACGAGGATGAGGAAGAGAAGAATGCCGGTTCGAAGAGAACCCGACCAGGTGGCAAGGATGCAAAGAATTGGCGTGGTAGGAAGAGGCGCAATAGCGAAGATATCAGGCGAGATAAGCTTGTTGAGGAGGTTCTTCGGGAGAGTAAACGTGAGTTTATTTGTCAACTATATCTGACTGTATATAAAATATCCATCGTCCTAGACATGAACACTAACACACATCCTATTCCAAATGTTTCCAGTCGACGTCTACGATGAGCCCGAAGTTGTCACTCAGCAAAATGACGACCAGGCAGCAGACGACCGCATCGCAGAGAAGTTCCGTCGTGACTTTTTGGACGCCATTCATTCCCGACGTCGTGGGGCCCGACCTAAGACTTCCAAGACCACCAAGCCCGATATTTTACGCGGTCCGAAGCTTGGAGGAAGCAGAAGTGCTCGTGCCATGATGCGGGAGAAGGCCGCCGCGCAAAAGCAATCATAATTTACGACCGCTATTTTGGGGAGATTTGGGATGGGGGCTGTACATACATACATACATACATACATATATATGACTGCATATGTCGATAAATATGGGTCATTCTATTTTCTTGTTTTAACGGTCCCTTTGTGAATTCTCTATCAGGAGATGCGTTGATATCTCCTGCAGTTTTCTACACTACACTGGAAGGTAAATGTGTAATTTTTTAATTACAAGTTTATGGAGAACTCTTTGCAATCATTCCCTCATGTTTGTTTCAATCCCACAATTGCCAATCAAAGAAAGCAGTTCCCCCCGGAACATGGATGATTTAATTATCTAGTCAAGTCCAGTTGCTCCGGGCTGGCGGACAGACTGGCCCAATTGTGCCTGAGAGAAAGCCACAGCACATCGCCCGTCCACAGCAAGTAACAGCTGCGGGCGTTAGGCAACATGCAAAGCTGGCGGGTGGCCAGAGCAAGGTTCCATGGATTCCCTTAAAAGTGAGGGAGGGGCATCCATGCTTGTTCGATAAGAAATTACCATGATAAATGGCTCTTTCGCTTTTTCTACCCGGACCGTGGACCGTGGTTAGCCTGGTTTGTGTATACACGGCATATACATTAGTAGGTAGGTAGCTATCGGAGGAATAACGTGGTTACCCGTGGTATATCTCGTGAAGGATGAGTGAATGGAAACTTCTGCTCCGGGTTTTGTTTGTTGGCATGCCTTAATTGAGGCCTTTGCTGATGCTGTTTTTTAGGTTTTTTTATACAGAGAATTCTTCCTAGGAAGAGAATTCATATCCCCTGAGAGACACGTTTGATGAAATATTTGTATTGAAATGATCTGGGCTAGGGGGCACTTAAATGAACTTGTCCCAAGCAAAATATTCTGTTAAGGGTCGTGCCGTGTGCCCCACTGTAGGTGGAGAGGGAGTCGGTAGAGCAAGCAACGGGTACAAGATAGGAGGATTGTTTGACGGAAGAAGCTTCAAGGATCCATCCATACGTGCCTCTACAAAATCCATATGCACAAAATTTCTTCAGTAAGTTTCTATGCATTTGTGAGCCGAAAGAATACATAGCCCCATGAGATCGAGAAGACTGCAAGCTTGCTATGAGTTTATTCAAGGCTGAATCTCTTGGGGTCTGCAATAGAGAGGTCATAGGACAAAGTTCAAGCTCACGCAGCCCCAAAGGAAGTGGAGTGGCTTTGGCCCTCCCGGTTCCTTTTGTATTGAAGCTATTCCAGAATTCAGGGCCAAGGATCTGGACAACTGTGGGTACCTGGCCTGGTTCTGATTTGCTGACGTTGAATTAGCTTGCCCCATCGGGTTCAATAGCAGCTGAGCGGCCAGCACCAGTGAGTTAATGTCCCCCAATGTTGACAACGATATTGAAAACGGCCCAAGCAGTGGTGAATTCCGCTGAGGTTTAATAAACGACCAAATCCGAATTTGCCTACAAACACACATACATTGAGGACAGATACGATCTCACAGGGAACATATTCCCAAGTTTGGCACGGCGTTGAAACCAATATTCAAAGAGCAGAGCAACCCACAACAATATTTCAAAGCCAACATCCCGTCTTTATGTCTCAAAGGCGAAGCACACCAAACGCCAACTGTTGTGGATCCTGTGGCAGATGGACTCCCCAGCCTCTACTGATCAGTGTCCATTCGTGGCCTGTCACTGGTCCAACGTCTGCCAATAATAAGGGCTCCCTGGGCTAGTTTGAAGCTTCCCTGCTCCTTGAGTGTCAAGTCGTGAGACTCGTCAGTTGTTAGCAGCAACAAGGAGGGCTGAAACGTGAGAGGAAACCTAAAAGAGAGGAAAACTACGTGGAGCTGCAGGCTTCACACTTGCAGGGGTGAGAAGTGGATTCTCAGTTACAATCATTAGCAAAGGGGGCGGCAATGGATAATGCAGCCTTTACAGACCGTCTGATACACGCCTGGCTCGCTTCACGGGCAGGAGTAAAATAGAATAACAACGGGCGGTAAATAATAATCATACCGCCAGCTTTGGCTAGGGGTTTTCTTCAAATTATAACATTCTTCCTTATCATTTTCCTCTTGGAGCCTCGAATCCTCAGTTCTACCTTTCCCTTCATTTCAATTTTTCGTAATCCTAGCAGCATTTCTATTTCGTTTGTTCTATTTCTTGCGATATTCCCACTGACGACTGATGTCACACCCACCGAATCTTTCTTTCCTCTTCTCAGAGACAATCTCTGAATAACTGTCGAAGTAAGTGTCTCCATCAGAAACAGTCCCGACCTTGCTCTCGTTTGGGATGACATATATACCTTTGGCTAACTGCTTAATAGTGATACCTGACATGACTCGAAACTACCCTGCGTCGGACTCATCAATCGACATGCGGATCCGACGTTTGCCAAAGGCAACACTTCTTCTGGCCTGGGGTCTGCTTTTAAATCATGTTGATGGAGCGGACGTCCTAAAAAACAACGGCTTCACCACATGTTTGGGCAACTCTGATATCAGGGTCGATAGAATTAATCTGGAGTTCAACCGTGCCACCAATAGCTTCAAATTCGATGTGGCAGGGAGTAGCAAAAAGCCACAAAGTGTGATGGCAGTGTTGGCTGTTGAAGCCTATGGCCAACGATTCACACAAGATTTCAACCCATGCTCCGAGGAAACCAAAGTCGAGCAACTTTGCCCTGGTGCGTATACCGGCTAGTTATCGTCCTGCCCTTTTTCATCTTGCTCATCTTTTGTCTACAGTTCCCGGGGGACAGTTTTCGGCTATTGGAACACAGAAAATACCCTCAGATTTCGCGAGTAAAATTCCATCCATCGCATTCGCTGTCCCCGATCTCCAGGCCGATGCAACCCTGCAGCTAAAAGCAATTGACGGAGGCCAAACCCTTGCCTGCATCAGCTCGAAGGTAGGCAACGGAAAAACATTGGAAGCTCCCGCTGTTTCATATGCTGCTGCCGGAATTGCAGCGGCCGCGTTAGCTCTGTCTGGTGCAGCAGCTTTAGCGGCGAGTGGGAATCCAGGAGCGGCTACGTCAAGTCCAACCTTTGGAGAGGTCGTTGGGTGGTTTCAGACCATGGCAACCAGTGGCATGCTGAGCGTCAACTATCCGCCAATGTACCGCAGCTTCACCAAAAACTTCGCCTTCAGCACTGGCTTAATTCCCTGGAACCAGATGCAGATCGCGATTGATAATTTCAGGAACAAGACCGGAGGAAATTTGACACATAACAATTTTCCCTTCCTTCAAAATGCCACACTTATATTCCAAGACGGTTCAAATAGTTCTAGCCTTGGAAAACGTTCTCTGGACTTTACTTTCCGTTCTACACATCTTGTTG